TTGACTCTAGGGGACTCAGAGCCCTTGTTATAGGAGGGAGGCAGTGCAATTCGTGAATGCAGGATAATCAAAGCGGCTTTTGTGTGATAGTTCTGTTGTGAATTAGATTAGCCATCAATAAGCCATCCTGATAAGTCATTGGAGGGGCGATCTGAATGACGATACCGATATTATTTGATTTAATCGGGTCAGGGCCTCCTTGGACAGTGCCGCATTCCTCCCTTGCTCGGAAGGCTGAGCTCCCGGCTCTATCCCTAACCCTCTGGCAGAAGTAGACCCCGTATCGACGGTTGGGGAGCTCGGGGTAGCTTCCTGTTCCCTGCTGTCGTCCCGAGCCGTCGGTCTGGGTGGAAAGTTAGGCGCCGGAGATGGCACCGTCGATGATCGGGGATGTTGATGCATGGTGGGCGGCTAATTGCGAAATAGTGGTTAGCGACCATCGACACACATGCAAGCAAGAGGTAAGAACGGTATTACCCTGATGGAGCGGGTCCAGGGAGGTATTGGATACGAGTGTTATCACCGCCGGAATCTGTTATCAGGAACGCAATCGGGCAGCGATGATTCCAGGACTGAGGGCCATGCTAACAGAAGAGGATAATGATATCTTCTAAGGATTTTCCTGAATCTGAGACGGTGAATGATTCACGATAAGACAACGGGCGGCTAGCATGTGGTCTGGGAGTGACTCCGGACTGGGACCTTCGGAGCAGATCTAGAGCTTCTCCGCACGGGTAAATGCAGTTGGATGAGATCACTGTGTGAGGTGTAGTGAAGCGAGAGAAATATAAGAAAGCTTGTGAGAAAGAAATGAGAAACAAGACAGGATGCGGAGAAAAGAGAGAGAAGGGGTGTGATAATGAAGATAGTTCGTATGTGACGCACATCCGGTGACTCGACAGGCCTCGAGTGCCCTAGTCAGCCTAGAACGCCACACAGATGATGCAAACACGGGGGTTTGCTGCCTATTTTCTGGATATTGTTCTCTCTCTCTTCCTTTTTTTTCCACTTAGGTATCTCTTACCCTTTTACCACTGTTGTACAAACTGGGTACCATGCACGGTCGCAAGGATCGCCATACCCGGGCAAGGTACCCTGGAACCGATAAGCACCCGATCACGACTTACAAGGCGTGATATTAGAATATCTACCCATTTACATAGTTACATAGCCTGGGGTAGGTATGGGCAGGTGATGAGTATATCAGTTATATCTGACTATGTACTTTATATCTACTTCATAAGGATCTTCTCAAGATTTCCCCATGTTTTATTATGGCATGTTACACCGTTATCTGATCCAACGTCATAATTTCATCCCCATCATTAAATCAATGACTACATATCCATAGATGTACACAGAAAAGTCTAGCTTTCCCATTGTTAATGATAAACATTATATATTGTAAGAAAAATATATACATATATATACTCCTATGGAGAAAGAATGCCAAAATAGGACCGAAATACACAAAGACATTGTGAGAAACCGAATTATAACCAACGTGCATCTGTATAGATCAAGAACATCTACCAAAGTTGGGCTCAAATTCTCAATGGCCATTATGCGCAATGGTAACAAATGTCAGCATTTAAAGGATTGTGTTGAGCACTGTAACGGGGTCGCTCTTGACCTTCGAATCCTGATCACCCAAATGGGTCAGAGCATCAATGAGCTTTATAAGAATAGGCTCGAGCCCCGCACCAAAAGCAAGCGGGTTGAGAATATTGCCAAGCTCAGTACTCGTGGTGCAGCCACTCTTGGTCGTGCCAGCAAAGGCATTCTGGATAAACTGGATGGCCGCGGGAATGGCAATGATTTCAGTGGTCGCGTGACCACCGCTGGCATACGTAGTAAACTTGACGTTTGCATCCCAGTTGCACCAGGAATTAACCATAGTTTTAGCATCGGCATAAGGGATGACTTCATCATCTGTGGCGTGGTACACAAATGTTGGTGCCGTCGGGGTCTCGTCCTTGTTCACAGCCATGCTGTTCTGCTTCAACACTGACTGAGCGATCGGGTCGAAGAGGAAATCCTTGCCTAGGGTTTGGAAGCTAGTGTCAAAGACCGACCGTTCGAAGAAAGTCGCGAGATTCGCAGTGAAGCATTGGGACGCGGCGCTGTCCAGTATCTTTTGGCCATCTGCCGTTACGATCTTGTCGATGAAAGGGGCCAGCTCGGCACCATAAGCGCTTGGTTTTGAGAGACCAACAAAGGCAGGGGGAAGCAAGCCACTGAAGGCTGTGTTGTCAAGCTGATACAATGTGCCAGTAACGTTAGCGGGAGTACCACCCTGCACCCAGGCCTTGATGTTCAGCTCTGACGCGTACTTGGGCTGCAAAGAGGCCGCCCAGCCGGTAGCAATGGAACCGCCTGAGTAGCCAACGCCGGCAACCATGGGGTTATCTGTGAGATCCAAGGTCTTGAAACTCTTCGCGGCACGGATACCATCCAACACACCCATACCTGCGAGACGACCCGGTCCAAAGGCGGCATCAGGTCCCTCATAGTCGGGAGAAGCGACGATGTAACCAAGAGCAAGGTAAATCTCAATGATCAATAGCTCGACCGAAGCGATCAAACTGTCCTGTGGCGCACCGAGCTGGTAAGCGTAACTAGGCTGGCATTTCGATGCAGAGCTATCGTAGGCCGTGGCGAAGGAAACGAAACGATCGAGCTTAGCATTCTTTGGCTTGAACACTGTGGTAACTGTTGCAAGGGCCGAGCCATCAACTGCAGTCGTGCGGTAAAGCAGCTGGTAGGCTTCTACGTCAACCGGGACGAGGCCGAAGAACGCAGCAGTGATGTTACGTTGGTTCAGAATTGTCCCAGGCGCCTTGGATGCGTAGCCAGCAGGCGGTTGATAGAACGGATCAGTGGCGGGAGGCTGAACCGTGCTGCGAGGGACCTGAGCAGGCAGCGCCGAGGCAATTGAAGTGAATGCCATCAGCCCAACCAAGGCAAGGCGCACCATGCGCGCAAGGGACAATGCCATTTTCCTGCTCGATATAGGAGAGTCGGGGCTGTGATGCTAGACGAGGAAAGGGGTGCTCTTCACATTATGTACTTCGGACGATCTCAACATAATACCTTACCTTCTTCCTGAGAATGTGATCGATATGCAGATATATTACCGAGGCTGGTGAAGAGAGCGACGATCATCGCCCCTGTTTATGGAGGGACCCCATAAGCAGTTCGGGGCAATGCATGATTTGTCTGATGCCCGGCAGATCCCCCTTACTGATGTGAGGTTAGCTTTATATCTTTTCCCACAGAAGCATGAATACATGAAATTAGTAGATCTGCGAATAAACTCATCCGATACACTCATCTCTCTGCCTTTAAAATCTTCAACCTCTCGATGAAATTTGGGGCCCGACAAATTTTCAAACTCGTGAAGGATCGGCGTCAGCCCCGCACAAAGTTCTTCCCATCTGGTATGCATTAAAAAACTTTGGATGCAATATCCGAGGCCGATTAGTGAGACATTTTATTGGGGAACCCTGCCCATTCTGCAATGGATACGTTATGGATACGCCTCGGGTCGGAATAATAAGCACGACTGTCTCCATATTCCATATGAGGACAGACCCAACTGATGCACACGAGTGCTCTAACCCGATATTGCCTGAGCGTTACCCCTCATTGTGCGGAGGATATCTTGCAAGAAGCAGGCTCCTGCATAAGAGGCTGTCGTTAGCTTCATATTGTTCCTTCACATGAAAGAGCTTGGGTTGCATTCTTCAGCTTTCATCTCATTATACTCGGCATTGGGAGTCAAGCCGTGTGTTGAGCCGAGCAGGATATTGAGAGGCAGATGACACTTCCCGTTTTAGTAAGGCTGAAGGTTGGTCGGAAGTAAAAATTGGAATAGGATCTAAGACTGATTGGTGGAAGTAGAAGAATTATATGTTGTTCATGGACAATATACTATAGGTTATACCTAAATGACGAAGGCCCTTGATTGTTTTAATGCAGAGCGTCACCTAACAGTCACCTAACAGCGGTGGAGGCTCTCTCTTTTCCCATGATTTTTGATTTAATGAGCTTTTATTCCTTCTCATGATTTCTCATCTCGCTCAGTATTTTCCACCATCCTTTACCGGATCCTGGACCGGATGGCCACGGAAATATCGTGATGATCACTACGGATCCTCCCCCACCGACACCGGATCCATCTCCAGATTCATTCGCTGCTCAGTCGGAAATTATATTTCCAAGTGGTGTAGGGATGGTGGGTCATCAAGCTGTGAAATCGAGTCAACTGGCTCTTTCTCACTCACCCTGGCCAAAAAGTTACAATATCACTAATATGTTATCCACTCGGATCGGGTCATTTCTTTTTTTATGGACATCACTTGGGGATATGAATATCCGTACTGCAGTCAAAAACTCGCAAGCATTCCCTATAAGTCATCCATTGGTCTATGTATTTCCATGGGTGCCTCTAGGCTGGATGGGATTGGTGTCTTGGGTGTCCAAGATGTTTCATCACAACCAAAGGACTAACATACATATTTAGCCTCCGGAGCACATCTTTTCTATTAAGGGTCATAAAGTCCTTGTGGTTGTGACATCCTAAGGATTTAGGTACTATTCTGACTTAAGCACTGTGGTTTATAACTATCTGTTGGGATCATCATGGAAGAAAACCATCCTATGTGAGCTGCAGAACCTCGATGTGCCATTGATAGTAACCATTTTCAGCAGCTGATCCACCCTGGGGTAAACTAATCTTGAATAACTATAGCGGATCTCTTTATTAATAGGAAAGAGCATTGTAGCAGCGAATGTTCTTTGAGGTTTTGCTCTTTGTTCAAAGACATGGCATCTCAGATTTTATTACATAAACCCCTACTCCCTCTTCAGACCATCATAAATTGGCACTATAAATGATTAGAGCGTTTTCTCTCGAAGAACAAAAGATTATACAGCAGGGGGCAGTCTTCTCCTACCAAAGATTATCCTCAACCCCATCCACTCCACTATACAGCGAAATGCGTGTGCAAGCAAGTCCCTTCGTAACCCGCAAGCACCATATTCCGGATCCTTGCGACGATGGCGATGGCTATTGCTGGGTAAGTGTTATACTCCTACCGGACGCAAGGAATGGCACCCATAGTGACGAAGCAATTATGTTGTTTGTAATTCGGAAGTGTAAAGATGGCCAAACCGCCATGACCCACCAGCCACTGCATGGGTTGGGGGACCACTGTATCTCGTTGCCAGTCAAGTGGAATACACCTAGGCAAAACCTGCGTACAGTTCGGCATCAGGCTGCTGTTCTCGCCTCATGGTGGCTTGTCCAAGTTCGTCAAAACAGGGTTACCCTCGACCAGGAGATGATTTTTGATAACCGCACCATGGGGGAGTTCAAAAACATGTTGGATGTGATCCCTCATGAGTGGGAAAATCCCGAGTATTCTGGTTGAAGCAAATATTATGCGGATTGTTGTTATGGTAACCCATCATTTGTTCTGTCCGTGGATTGTAGCGAGCTTAGCAAGATGGAAGACGTGAAGAATATATCATCAAAGAGCTGAGATAAGAATCGGCCCCTTGAACTAGTAGATGGGTAGTTGAACAGCTAGATAGGTAATCGCTCTCCCAAGGGATTTTGCCACTACACGGCTTTCCCGAGGTCTGCCCATAGCTTGATGTGTAGATGACCAGCGGTGTTAGCTTAAGGCTTTCCCAGACTGAATGGCCTAGTATCACTTGGACAGATATTCCGTCTTCGGTACTTAGTTCTATAACTGTAAACAATTGGTACTTTGCATCATAATGAACAAGCAATCTGGCAAAGGGACCGAATTTGCACTCGGATATGTCAGCGATGTGATTGATGTCATGTATACTTCTATATATATGTCCGGAAGAGCAAATCCACGACAACCTGGTGAATGTTCTCGTTGATGAACTGTCCAAGAGACAAAGGAAGCGATGGACCAGGCTCAGATGATCCTCGATGTCGAGCGCATGAATCTGATGACTCTGGACAACAAATTTCGTAAAACTCTTGAGGGAACCCAAAGCAAAGGGTGTGTTTGACCAATCCATTTGATCTATACTGACATCGTTCTACCAGCCACTGGGAGTAGTATGAGGTTTTGAAGGGTAAGACAAAATCACCAATGAGCAACACCCAACAGACCGTTCGCTACACCCATGATATCTTGGCAGCCTACTACGCAGTGGCATCCAAGTGGTTCGTCGACAACATCTGCATGCAAGTTACCGGCTACTATCTGCTCACCAGGCCACCCAAGCCACTTAGGCTTTCCTCGTCCCAGTTTGTTGTGGACCTGGCGGAAGACCAGTTGGTGTATATTGCGGGGGAGAATGTGGCACCAAGCCGGCGACGTGCGTAGCTGAACAAAGGGATCCAGGATCTGGAAACTCGAAAGATTTTGTAGATCTGGTCTGTGTGCTACGGACGTATGTCACCAGGTCATTCTACATGAGTAAACTGAACTTTAACTGAGATCGAAATTGGCATGAAATGTCATACATGAGGGTGCATTATCCTATCAGTTCCCCACGAGCTCTGCCCTGGATGATCCTCGCCTCTCATCCGGGGGCATGGAGGGACGTGCGCGTCGTTATTGGTCAGAATGATTCCACAGAAGGCGATAACGTCCATGTAGGCACATAACACGGACTTCCATAGTATAAATGATTCTAGTGGCCGTAGTTACTTCTTTTTCCCCATTAACGTAAGAATACCCTAGAAAGATACATTCTAATTTGGTAGCTGATAAGAAGTGACAAATCTATGGAAGGATTTATTTAGCCCATAGGCTTAGATATCTATATCATTGAAGTTATTCTCTCGACTTGATCAAGGGACAGTTTTGGTATATCTCACTTATACTTGGTTGTGATTTATGTACTCTTAAATCTTCAAATATTCATTTAAGAGACATGCTTTGAGCCATCCATAGCAATTTGACAAGTCCGGAATGACCCGGAGACTCCGATATAGATGTACTACTTACGGAGTACATGGTGTCGATGTGGCTTTTGACCGGACCGTCGTTATAATTGACTGTGGGGCGGATCCACGAATCCACGGATGACATCGAGGGCAAACCGGGCTGGAGTTCTGGCAAGTGCGACGACATCTTGCTCTTTCCAACCATCTAGGTATCTCGAGACATTCTCCATCTTACAATCACGTCCAAAACCGGTCCCTCTTCGAAACTTTCGAGTTGCCCGCCAAATAAGCACTTCGCCAAACGCGCACATTCCGAGCCCACAATCGATTTCGCGTCAAATCCACGAGAAAATCCGTGACACCGAGATCGCATCGACCTATACTTATAGCGTCGGCAATTCTTATCCTTTCCCTCCGAACCAGAGTTCTCTTATCACCCAGCTCCTCCGTCGCGGTTCTCCCCACTGTGGTGACGGCGACGTTCAGCTTGGGCCTGATAAGAGATTCGGCGCGTCAACCACTCCGGGCACATGAGTAACAAGCTTTGGGAGTGTTTCATTCAAGATGATGTCGAGCGGTTCCAGCGGTGTCTGGCGAACGCGACGTTCGCGGGGCCGCGAGCTGCGGGGGGATCCGGAGGGACCTCCAGAGCTGCGACAAATCTGTCATCGAAGGCTGGAAGCCCCGGGTCAATAATCGCTTCGTCTCCAAATACACCGAGAGGTAAGAAAAATATCGAATCATCACCTGGGACCTCTGTGCCTGACCGGGCGGCCTTCCCGCGCGGGAGCGCGACTTTGTCACGCGCCGAGGTGAATGCCCGCGATCATTACGGCCGTACACTGCTGCATCATGTCGCTTCGTCCTCGAAACCTACCGCCTTCAAGTTCGCCCGCGCTTTGTTGGACGTTCCATTCGTCGATATTTATGCGCAGGACTGGGAGAGCGGATGGACGGCTCTGCATCGGGCTCTTTACGCCGGGAACGCCACAATTGCTCTGGCGCTCATGGCGCGCGACCTGCAGGACATGACGGATTTCAGTAAAGGTGGAAATACAAGTCATCCGAGTGGTGGTCTGATCAAGATCAAGGACCGTGAGGGTTGCAGTCCATTTGACGTCTTCGGGGCGACTATCAGAGCCCGTGACATTAAGCATCTCTCTGAAAACTGGCCGAATTTAGATCTTGATGATGATGCGCCAGGCAGCGATGTCGCTTCCAATGCCGCCTCAAACTTTGGAGATGACGGGGAAGATGGCGCATACGCACTTAGGGGTGCTCTGAAAGGAGCCGTGGATATTTCCGCCGATGAAGTTTTCACACTAGGAAGCAACAAAAACTTGAACCTTGGTCTAGGGGACCAGGATGATAGACAATTTCCTGAGCGCATCTCATTGAAGCGCCCCGAGCATCTATTGCATCGATTTTATCGTGAATACCAAGTGAAGTTGGAGAACCTAGGGCTTGAGGACAGCGTGCCCAAGAGCAACTCGGCCGAGCTGCCCACGTTGATCGCAAACAAGCCAATGAAATTCCAAGACATCATCATGTCCAAACTGCACACCGCTATAATCACAGATGACCCCGAGGCTAATCTGTTCATGTGTGGATTTGGACCTGGAGGGCGTCTAGGTACAGGAGATGAGTCGACGCGTTTCACCTTTGTTTGTATTGAAACGGGTGGACTGGAGGGGAAGAAAGTTGTATCGGCTGCTCTGGGTCAAGACCATAGCCTGGCCATTACCGAGCAGGGCGAGATTTTCAGCTGGGGAAGCAACAAGTTCGGACAACTTGGCTATGGACTGCCCAGGACTAGCAACAAAAACGATATTCCCATCCAGACGACTCCTCGCCAGATCTTCAACCCGTTTAAGAAAGAGACGATCATAGGTGCAGCGGCGTCGTCTATCCACTCAGTGGTCTTCAGTACCTCAGGTCTCTATACGTTTGGCAAGAACGAAGGTCAGCTTGGCCTGGTCGATTCCGATGCGCGTTCGCTCGAGGTACAAACAACACCGCGGCGCGTTGGAGCATCTCTTTTCAATTGCCCAATCAAGATGGTGTCCGCCATTGATCGTGCTACATCTGTGCTTCTGCAGAATCACGAAGTCTGGGTATTCTCGTCATATGGCTATTCAAAGCTTTCATTCCCACTGGAGGTGAGCTCCAGATTTATCAGGGATAGCTTCATGGCAACCAGATACGACAAGACTGCGAATCGTGTTGTCAAGATTGTATGTGGAGGCAACACCATATGTGCATTATCTAGCTCTGGTGATGTGTTCACTGTTCAAGCCAACCAATCTGACAACTCTTCGGCTTTAACGTCCACAACCAATCCTGCAAAGATTCGGAATTCGTTAGCCACCCCTGTTCGAGCGTGGTCCGTTAAGAAATCATATATGGCAGCAAGCGATGTTGATGTTGGGCAAGACGGTTCGATTATTATCTGTACAACATCTGGATCTGCATGGAGAAAAGAACGGCGGACAAAGAACAAAGCGGGAGCCTCGAAAGAGTATAAATTTGCCCGCATACCTGGTCTCTCACGGGCAGTGGCAGTGCGCAGCAATGCCTTTGGGGCCTACGCTGTCGCCCAACGTGACTGCGAAGTGACCAGAGAACAAATTCATGTTGAGCAAAGCAAACTTTGGGATGATATGTTGCCGTTGTCCCCGTTTTCAATACCAGGTCTGGAAGAGTTGGACTTGATCCTCGAAGATGACACTCAGAATATCCCCCTTGTACTTTCCTCCGGAAAAAGTATCCAAAGAGCCATACTTTCATCCTCGGATATTGAAAGCCAATTCCTTTCTGTGTGGACCGAGGGCACTGTTTGGGTGACCAGCTCCCTATCTGACTCTTGCATTCCTGTTCATGAGTTTCTTATAGCTGGTCGTAGTCCTATTTTGGGAAAGGCATTGTCCGAGTTTCGGCAGTCATATTATGCATCCGTCCCAGACGCTTTTGATATTGAATACGGGAAGGACGGACATCCGCAGATCCGCCTCCAAGGCGTTGATTTCTTGACCGTTATGAACGTGGTCTTTTTCCTTTACACGGACGGTATTCTCGATGTTTGGCGCCTAGCAAGGAGCTCACCAGCAAACTCGGCCCGTTTCCGGCAGGTTCGCACTGAAGTGATGCGGGTCTCTATGCAACTAGGCTTGCCAGGACTGGAGCGGGCAGCACGACTAATGGTCGAGCCTCAAAGAAGTCTGAAAATAGATATGGCGCATGCCATCAACCAGTCATCCTTATTTGACAGCGCAGACGTGGTGGTGCAGCTCAAAGGCGATACAATCAAAGTGCACAGCCAAGTCGTGTGCCAGAGATGCCCGTTCTTTGACACTCTTTTCCATGGCTATGCGGGTGGAAGGTGGCTAGACTCGCGCAAAGTGGACTCAAGCCAGAGTGTGCATGTCGACCTAAAGCACATTGATCGCTCGACATTTGAATTTGTCCTGCGTTATCTATATGCTGACACAGAAGAACGGCTATTTGACGAAGTCCGGACCAAAGATATTGATGACTTCGTTGACTTGCTTCTGGATGTAATGTTCGTGGCAAATGAGCTGATGATTGACCGACTGTCTCAAGTGTGCCAGAAGATGCTTGGTCGTTTTGTCACAACGCGCAACGTGTGCTATTTGCTCAATTCCATTGCCCCTTGCTCTGTCACGGAGTTCAAGGATGCTGCCCTGGAATATATCTGTCTCAATCTCGAGGCCATGCTCGCTAATAGATATCTCGAAGATTTGGATACCACTCTCCTTTGGGAGTTGGATCTTATCTGCCGCGAGAATCAGCTAGCATGCTGGCCCATATCCCGTGGGCGCAACTCTGAGGAGTATGTCTTCGAGAAATACCCCGAAATTATCAGCTCTGTGGAAGCAGATAAGCAGCGAAGGATCGATGCCATGGCTTTGCAGTCCCGCCTTGGCAGTCTCGAGCCTTATGATGCCCGAGCCCGGTCAACACCTAACGAGAAGGCCCTTTCATCTCCGTCTGTGCGTAAAACGAAGACCAGTGTATCCGGAGGATCACCAAATGTTGGTAGTAGCCCAACCCTGAAGCCGAGGCAGTCAGTTGGAGATCTCATGTTTCAAATGGACGATGAGGCCCTTATGTCGCCAAGTCCTTCAAAAGGCAAGAGCGCCATGCGTGGACTCAGGTTCACAGAAGGCATACCCGAAAATCGATCATACCCCGACTCCCCAGCTTTGGGGGCGAGTATCCCAGAGGCCGAGTCCTTCGGCGATGGTGGTTTCTTGAAGGCTCAGATGTCGTCCCCGCAAGACCCGCTACTAGCACAGTCTCCATCTGAGCCTAGGGCAATCACAAGAAACCAAAAACAAGCCATAGCTTCATCATCTAATCCTTCTTCTGCCCCATGGACGTCGCCAATGATTTCGAGTTCCAAGAAGGATATCAAAGACATAATGGGAGAGGCATTACAGTCTCGGGTATCAAACCTCACGCTGGGTATGGCAGATCGACGCGAAAGCAGCGGTAGCTTTGTACCCAAGATCTCCCAAAAGGAGCGAAAGAAGCTCCAGCAACAACAGATACAAGATCAGCTGGCTGCCCAACAGAAGGCAAAGGACGCACCACAGAACCCCTGGCAAAAGCCAGCAACTTCTTCTCCAGCGTCGCTCCCCCAACTCGGTCCTCTGCCAGGTCAAAGCGCCATTTCTGAGGCTGTTAAATCATCACCTCAAAGGTCCATGACTATGCGGCAGACTGTGGCCGGCACGCCGCCGCCACAGTCAAAGGCAGTAGCTACACCCATGCAAACACAACGCCGCAGTGTGTCAGGCAACCCACAGGCCTCTTCACATTCGAAACCTTCCACACCGGGACCTTCTACAGCAACCCCTAACAACCAGCCAACATCACCACAGCCAGCCATCCAGTCAATTCGTCACATCCCACGCCCTGACCTAACATCATCACGCTCTCCGTCATCTGGCTCGTACTCTCTGTCGACCATCTTGCTCCAGCAACAGACCGAAAAAGAAGCGATCCGTGAAGCGGCCACAGCCAAGCATAAAATGCAAGAGATCCAGGCCGAGCAGGAGTTCCAGCAGTGGTGGGATCAAGAAAGCAAGCGTGTGCAGGGACTGGTAGATCCCGAGCCAAATGAACCTCGCTCTGAAAAGGGCGGACGAGGTGGCAAGGCGCCTGGCGCTACCGGTAGCCCACGTAAGCGTCGAGGCAACAAGAATACCGGTGATGGACCTGCTCGCCAAGATCACAGACGCGTATCGGCTCCAAGCTCTGGGCATACAACCCCCAAAACGAATCAGAATGGCCAGGGCCCAGCCCAGTCTCAAAAAGCCCCGAATAAGAATCGTGCTGGAGGTGTTGCTGGGAATGCTAGTGCACGCCGTGGGGGTGGTAATCAACGCGGTAGGAGCAAGAACGACGCATAACAACATGAGAAGAAGGCATTCATTCTGTCATTGACTTTTCTTCCGTGACTATTATTTTCAGCTCCCGGTATACTTCCTATTATACATGTTCGGCTTCCATTTAATGTCCACCGATATATGATTGTTTTTGAACTATAGTATCGGCAGTTCTTTCATTGCGATGACCTACCATCCACTCACGCCCCTTTCTTTCGCCTATCCACCATGTTCGCTCTTGTTTATCAATTTAGAATCTCTTCGGGCAAATATGGCGTTTGATTGAAGTGCTGGTCACTTTTAGAAGACCGGTATAGAATGATAGACTGCCGGTTATTGATACACTGCTTTTGTGAAATTATCGTCTCCTTTCAAGATACAAACCTTTAGCCACGTTTTACAATAAAAACACTTGATTTACTGAGACAAGACCAACATTCACGATTTGTACCCTTATGAACGGACTTCCCACCGCACAGTCGCCGGCTGCACAGGACGTGAAAAGAGAGACTAAAAAAGAAGTCAGCCACAAATCCGCATCGACCCAAGCCAAAAGAAACCCCTTTTCAAAAGACTCACCGAGTAATCCGTGTCCGGCACCCCTTCCCTTCCCTCAGGATTGAAAAACCTAAACTCCCTCACAAGGGTGGCAACAATAACCTCCAAATTAAGATACGCAAACTTCTCCCCAATACAACGATGTCTACCGGCCCCGAACGGCAAGTATGGACTGCGCGTTCCCTTAGAGACAGCCCCATACCCATAATCCACCGTATCAGAAGAATCCTCAACCTCCACCCGACTCTCCCAGCGATGCGGATCCCACCGCAGCGGATCACGGAAATGCCGCTCATCCCGCGCCGTAACACCAGGAGAAGAGAGCAGCGTATGAGACGGCGGAACAACAAACTCAGTCCCAGGCACCGGCATGGGATTCTTCACTTTCCGCATAAGCGTATGAATAGACGAGTGGATACGCAGCGTCTCTTTGATCACATTGTGATGTAATGGAAGCTTATCCATATCCTTGTACTGTAGCGGCGGGAGATCGGCGCCCAAGTTATTGATCTGTTCAGCATACAACTTCTCTGCCATCTCGGGTTGCGATGCGAGTCGGAGAAGGATCCAGCAACTAATCGCGGACGACGAGTGCTGGCCCGCCATCAACAATGTGATCATCATATGTGCGATCTCCTTGTCTGGGATTGGAGTCCCGTCGCGATACACGCAGCGCATAAGGTTCGAGATCATGTCTGTTCCCTTGGCTTTGTCCCTGCCGTTGACGTTGTCTTCTTCGCCGGCTTCCCGTCGCGCTTGGATAATGTCCAGATAGATCTCGCGCATACGTCCGTGGGCTTTATCGCGCTTGCGGTTGTGAGGGAGTGGTGCCCAGGGGAGCATGAAGTTTATTGGGGAAAAGCCTAGGTCGAGGTCGTGGAAGAGCTCGGCGAACTCGGAGGTTAGCTTGGAGCGTACTTCTTCGCCTTGGAGGGTGCGGGCTGCTGTGAAGACGGTTATCTCGGCCATGGCAGCGGCGAGATCGATGGTGCCGGATTGGCCTTTGAAGTTTGGGGATGATTTTATGTAGGCGCTTGTTTCGTCGGCGATTAGGGGGACGTAAGATTCCAGGGCTTCTTGGCTTAGGCCGTATTTGATGAACTGGTTTAGAACGGTTGGGTATTAGCTCTGGGTATAAGAGGTATAATGAGTGATCAGAAGGAGATATACCTTCTTTTGCTCCATAAGTTTAGAGTTGGGACAGTCGTAGACAACATCAGATCCGAAGACGGGTGTTGTAAGCTTGCCGTAGATTTCTTCGGCGTTGACGTCCTTCAACTTTCCATTGAGGATGAACTCATTGCCTTCAACACCGAGGTAGACCGTTGTTTTCTTGCCTAGCAGAATGAATGTAAAGATGTCGCCGTACTAGGTGTATTCGTTAGTAGGTGTCGTCGTTGACTTTAGAAATATCAAGGGCTGCAATATATACACACTTTGGCACGAGAAGCAAAGAAGAACTGGTACGGATCCATGCCATAGGCGACTGTACTTCCAATGAAAGGAACCCAGTGAAAGACAACAGGGGGTTCTTTTCTGTTGTAGAAGACAAGCTGGTTGATCACATTGAGGACGATTGACACCAGAACAAGTCCGGAGGTATAGTATGCAATGCACAGGATCTGACCTGTTACCAACGGGATGATATCCATGATAGTTTTCTTGTAGATTGGATAAACAAAAAGGAAGAAGTTTTGGAGTCTGTAGTATGTACCCAGGTATGCTGTATGAGGCCATGTAGTTAGGGTTCTGTAGGACAAATCAGCCGGCCAGGATTGGCGATTAATCATCCGGTCAGGCCATCCAACCCTACCCCGGATGTCAAATCAGCCGACGCAGGAATGGCCCCTGATGGCCACTCTTAGGCAGCTGATTTGTTATGGATCTACGGGAAATAGTGGGTATACTGGGCCTGTGATGACCATGTAAATGTGTGGCATTGGCTACTCATATCAACATAATGGAGCATAAATGCAGTGCAGGAGCAAAAGAACAGATAAAGTATGTCCAACCTGATCGCTGTAATGAAAAACTAGAATGCGAACGCCGAACAACCATAGAGCTAACCGTCATAAACATAAAAGGGTGAAAAATCATAAATTAGCCGTGGATGGCGACCTCTCGGCTCTCCCACATCCGACGGATCAGCATGGCGCTGTCGTTAATCTGGAATCCTTCGTCATTCTCACCACTCATGTCACGCGAAGCTTCGGCTGAAGTGGAGAGGGTGCGATGAGATGGATCGTTGGACTTGGCAGCCTTTATGGTATTGAGAGGTTCGTTGTCTGTCGCTGGATCTTCAGAGGCGGTGGAGTTTGGATTACGCAATCGGGGTTTAGATGCAGGGCTGGAGCTGAGGCGACTGGGCCCTTTGCCTTGCTGCAGAAGGGGCAGCGAAGTTGCTGATTTGACTGGTTTGCCGAGAGCTGATCCGTGCTCCGCTTTGTTGCCTCGGAGAATATGACGAAGACGGGCGAAGCTCTGGCCGGTGGGAGACTGGAAACGTCGTACGACCATCAGTTCTAGGGATGTCTTCTCATACGCCTTGCGGATATGACGGGTTTCACCGTCGTGTCCTGCACCGCCCGCCCGACCGTCGCCGTTAACCCCCCTGCCGGCGTCATAAGTGCTGTGGCTAACGGTAACAAACGTTGGGTCGATGGCAGACGGCGGAGCTGCTGCGGTCACTCCATGGTTATCAGGAGGAGAGTTATTGAGGGTGGCAGTACGTTGAAGCCAGAGCTTCTGTTGTGTGCGAGAAGGCAGGTCAGCACCACGCGGCCGGGCAGGAGACGCGGTCAATTTAGCCGCTGCGGTGTTCGGAGAGGGCGGCGTCTGTGGGTGGTAGTGCGGGAGGAACGATGAGGGGGTATTTGGATCTGAATCGGTGCGAGAAGATGCCTGCATGCTATTCTTGTTGTTCAAAATGAACCTCGAGACTCCACCTTCCATGGAGGATGAGGTGGCTTGGGGTTGAGAGCCTGGCATGCTGGCCATGCTGGTTGTAGAGAATGTGCGCCGAGCGTTGTCCTGGCCAGCAGCTAGGTTGAGAGATGCACTACTACGCGATGCAGGATTAAGATTCGTGGCTTCTGGCTTTACCATAGCCGAGATAGAGGACATGGCAGGGGGCGCTTTGGATGAGTGCGTAGGACTTAGGAGGCGATTTGCTATGTCTCCCTGTTCAGTGTGCTGACTAGACCCGTCGGCTTCTTCGTCCGAGTCCTGCTGTTCGGATTCCTGATCCTCATCATCATCCTCATCTAGTTCAGTACGCTGTCGAACGAACTTCGTGGTGATCGACTCGGGGAGACTGGTCGCTCGAGGCATTTGCGGATATGGTCGCTTGACAAAGGTAAGGTGGTCGACAAGAACGGTGCTATTGTCTGCGCTGGGATTGGATGGTGCCACCGAGTTGCGCCTCGTACTTTCAGGTGACTGCGTGGTATCTTCCCACTCAGCTTCATCGGTCTCGTCATCCCCCAGTTCAAAGCCGACCGTCTTTTTCTTTACCGTGCCAGGGGCTGGCCGCTCAGTCACCAACGCTTTCTTCCCAACGGCCGATGGATTCCGGCGCAACACAGGAGTGGAATAGTTTCTCTTCATGGAAGGATCAGTTGTATGACCATCCACAACGTTATCCCAGCGAACGTGGCCGCTTTCTCTTGGACTCGCTATTGGGGTTGCGGGGGCCGACTTCTTGCGCTGATGATGCCGCCCAGCAGTCTCGGGAGCTAGTTGGAATCGTTGGAGTTTGTTAAAGTTTTTGCTGGTAGACGGGTTGCGGTGGTGATTGCGAGCACCAACAACATGGGCGCGGTGAGGTTTATGATGTAGAAGTGCCTTCTGGGAGTGAGACAATGATAGGTCACTAGGATTGGTGCTGCGCGTGACAACTGCATGGGAGGACACTGCACGGCGACCGAGACCCGGGCGCTTGACAGGGGAAGAGGTATTTGAGGCGTTAGAGGTAGGCATGGCGGTAAGCGAAAAGCTTCCAGAGGAGCCACAGGCGGGTAATTAGCTGTGCTCACGGAGCATAGAATGTGGGGATTGGCCGAGGCAAGTTGATCAAGAGGTCTCACGGCAGATTAGAGAGCATGCAGGCAAAAAGCAATGAAGACTCAATAGCTGGAAGCCGGGTTACACCGGTTTGAATCACCACTGAAAATGAATGAAAAATGAAATGGAATGTGAAAAGAAGAAGAACAGAAGAAGAACAGAAGAGAAATCCGGGGGGCGAATTAGAGAAGTGAGGAAGAGAGAGGGTGATCTCGCTGTCTTCGGCGATTAAGGAGCGGGTAATAGCATTGTGGAATGCCTCAGGCAGACGATTCTGCACCGAGAGAAGATTCAAACAATCTATCTACGAAGTGAAAATAGTATTAATCTTTTCCTTAAAAAAAAAACTCCCTTGAAAGTGCATGTAAAGAGCCAAGAATGATATTGGAGATAAGTATTGGCAGTATACATAACCAATGTCCTTTTATTCACCCACTTCAAGCTACACATTCAATTTGCTGAAAGTCTTAGGTATCATCGGGGGAAGAAAACAAAGAAAGATAAAGCCATAGATAACGCCGAAAACAAACGTAATTACGCTATAGCTCAATCAGGTTTTCCTCCACTGGCCGTGCTGGTTGCTGGTAAGGTGGCTGTGAAGTCTCCTGTGCATACGATCCCGGTTGTCCAGCGGTAGTTGAAGGATAGGTAGATGGCACAGCGTTAGGGGGGTGTTGAGGTTGAGGCTGTGGTGAGTAATAGTAGGATTGAGAAGGGCCCGTTGCCTGTTGATGAAGTGCTGGCGCAGTAGGCGGCACCGAATAGCCTGACGATTGCGCATACCCGGCAGATGCGTGTTGATCGAGCACGGGGGTGGGGCCGCTGGGAGGTGCACTGGCCTGATACTGAGAGTCCTGGTGCATAACGGGCGACTGGTATGGGGGTTCTGTGCCAGGTGACTTGGCCGAGTCTTGGTCGTGTGGTCCTGCATAATATTGAGCCGGAGCACTTGGTGCTGGAGCATTGGTATAGTTATTTGGAATGGCGTTGTTAGGTGAAGGTGATCCAAGGGTCGGATGGGTATTTCCACCCCAGGTGTGGCCCTGTGACTCATTCGTGTGAGCCCCGGGTTGAGTTTGTGATGGGTAGGCGGGATTCTGGAACGCGCTAGGTGGACCTCGATATCCATCGCTGTTCGCATGATGCGGTGCATACATGGCAGTAGGTGGGCGAGGGCTGTCTATTTGGGTGCCATAATAGAAATTCTCAGCTCCACTCTGGACATCGGGAGCATGAGCAGGAAACGATGGCTGAAGATTTGGATAGTGCGCCGCCCCAGGAACAGCTCCATGCCCAAGGGTATGTTGGGAATAGGCAATGGTCAGACGTTCTTCCAACATCCGATCATAGTAACGTACAACAGTAGAGAGCTTAGAATGGAGATCCAATAATGTATCTGTGGGGATTAGCTTGCGGTTCTATACATGAAGATGGTAAGACTGCTGAACTCACCATGCTTACTCATGGTCTCTCCATAGCTTCGAGCCAGCTTTGGCCGAAGTGAACCGATACTCTCATATAGTTCCTGAATCTGCGGCTCTCTAAGAATTGTGCCCGGCGGCTGATGTTGGAGCCGATCAACCAGTGTAGAGAAGAGGTGAATATTCTCAGTTTCAACAGGGGTTAGTTCGTATGGATTTTTAGGCAGTTGAGTGGGCGTGCTAGAGGAATCGCGCAAGATAGAACTTGGAGTGGGCACGTTCTTCAATGCGGCCGCATGGTTTTGTTTGTGTTGTTCCATATCACGCAGGGATGCTTCAATCGCAGCCTTGAGATCCGCATCTTCCTCGTCCACACTCTCCAGCGCTGGGGCTGGTTTCGCAAGTTCTGGGGCATTGCCTGTCTGCGGTACAAACCCCGAAGAGCCTCTACCCTCGGCTTCATCGAGACTCATTTGCAACGCTCGACGCAAATCCTCATCAAATCCCGTATCCGCTTTACCAGCACGAGGTTCCATCGTGTTAGATTTGCTGATGGAGTTGTTTTTGAACGCGGATCGATCTGAAATTCCCGGTGGCGCAAATGACTTCGAGGTCAGTTTGGCATGACATCCATCATCTACTCTGACCGGCTGCAGAATTCCAAGATGCGGTAAAGGAATGGTCTTGCTTGAACACTGCGCGTCGAAAACGTTGCCGCAGTTACGGCAGTGGTGTTTGCGATTCATAAAGCTGAAGGCAGTCCGACATCGCATGCAGACTTCAGAGTCGATCCACTCCGGAGGCTGAGACAGATTCACAAATTAGCTTCTGCTTTAGAGCGAGGGATTTAAGACACTCACTGCGCTACTCTCCAGCATACTACCGCTCATTTCTGTCTTTGGCGGAAACCGGTATCCTTCGCTCTGCAATTTGCGATATGTCTCTCCCAAATACGTCAAATCCATACGGCCCTGTGCAGCCATAGCCCAGTTCTGAATAAGTTCTAATATTTTCCCCTGAACCTCGGCATTAAGGGGAGCGCCTTCAGATTTCAGTAATGAGACAAGGTTATCCATGAATTCTCGAGACGCGATCTCGGCCAGGAAATGGGTGCCTCCGTTTTTGACACACGTATCCGTTAACTGGAGGGGCAGGCTTATCAGCACTTGTTCCAAGCCTATCATCAACCAGGGAGGAATGTTTCACCTTCAGTGTCGCCAGTTGAATGTTGGGATTCCTATTCTCGAGTCGCCGTTTCAAAGACCTCATTCCATCCTTGGGCTGAACACTCTTTGATCGAACCATATCAGATATCTCCAGGTTGAGCGCGATGTCTTCTCTAAAAGTGAGTTAGCCATGTGATCATTTATTTCAGACGATTCCGGTAGGTAGCCCCGGTAAATATGGGCATGATAACAACACAGCAATCAAAACTCACAGAGAGGAAGCTGTCGCCCGCTCGATTTGCTCATCGAGCGGCGAGGTTGAAGAGAACCAGCCTGCCATAGTGAAGGCTAAACACCCGAAGCGTGTATAATATTGAAGGGACACAGATCACAATAGTGTCGCAGAAAGCCAAGACACTTAAATGCAGCAAATATAAAGATCGGGCTGTTAAGTTGGAGGAGGAGCTTCCAGGCATCTCAATAATAGTGACTAAGCCCCTGGCGTCATAGGCTGGGGGCGGTGAAGTACTGTCATCTGATTACCCCAGAGGCATCCCGCATTGTGTCCCTGGATCTGTCCTCTCTACTCTGGTCTGTCTTTCGTTATTTGTGTTTGTTATTTGTACTTGGTCAAATTTTAGGTGGATTGGTGACGCCACTGGTTTGGCTCTACTTTCTTTTTTCTTTCTTGGTCTTGGACATAACCATGCGCTAAGTCCGCTTGTCGCTTCCTGGATCTACCATGTCCTCCGATGCGGCGACTTTGCCATCTCCCCCAAAAGTACCACCGTGGAAGGACGGCCGGCGTCCTTACTCGGTGGGGGATGACATGAATTTCAACGGACAAGTCGACAGACCGGATTCATATCCCATGGGCAAGGCCCCTCCCATCCCACCGCGGCGACCTCGGTTCCCCAATATCAAAGACCTGCAAGACCAGGCTGCTGCGTTAAATGTCAACGACACTACACCGGTATGTGCTGTACTTACTGAAAATTGTACCAATTATTTATTCTAACAAGGATCGTAGCTTAGCATTCTCTTGCCAACGGCTGCCGATGCAATCGAAAGGGCCAGGAACCTCGCAGATGACGACTACAACGACAAAGCCTACGTCCAGTACCTTCGTGCCTCCGAAATCACTATCAATATTATCCCCCATCATCCAGACTATCGAACCGTCAGCCAACGCCCTGACTGGTACAAGGAGTTCGCCGACTTAGTGAAGGCAGTGCGGTCCAAACAAGGCACTATGGATGCGATCAAGCGGGACATCATCGAGGATAATTTGGTCAGTGGCATGCAGCCAACTGGTATCTTCACATCCAGATCCCCAGAACAAATTTCTGTCACTCCACGGGGCCGCGAGAATCGAGAGTCTGGAACAAACTTAGCTAGAATGCCAAGTCCGACTGAGTATCAAAGAACGCCCGAGACAGAGGCACGTCCGCAACGATTTTCAAGTCCTCCAGATGATATGCTTGCGCAACGCTTTGCCAGACTGAAGGCGTCTCCGCCTTCCAACCATTATGGGTTGGGGGCAAGTACTGCTGGTTCGGGAAGCCCAATTGTAAGATCTGCAGGGCAGACCCCACTTCAACCGTCGAATGTACCCCTTGGGACATATAGCTCCCCGCCGCCAAGACGTCCATTGGGACCTCGCGGCATGGGATCTTCATCCAATGTGCCGACCATTCCACCGAAGCTTCCGCTTAATACGTCGTTACCACGCGCTCCGGACCCGGCCTATAGCCCTGTCTTCACCGTGCCATCAAAGCCCACATCCAACCCACCGAGAAGGTCAACGGAGAGCACGCGCTCAGGAAATCCAAGATACTCACAATTCAGCAACTCACCACGTGTCAGTCCAAGCCGGGGAGGTCTTGATGAGAATCCGTATAGATCTATGACACCCAATGGCTTGAACTCCGCGCGAGAGACGCGAAGCAACTCTCCCGATTTACCGTACAGCACAACCATAACTGCACAGAGCCTCCTTGAAAATCTGCGGAAATTTAATGTGCTGTTGATCGATGTTCGGGCCCGAGACCAGTATGATAATGGTCACGTATATGCAAAATCCATCATTTGTATAGAACCTGTGGTTCTGAAAGAGAACGTGTCAGCGGAAGAACTAGAGGAGCGACTCGTTGTTTCACCGGAGCATGAGCAGGCCTTATTTGAGAAACGGAACGAGTACGACCTTGTGGTTTACTATGATCAAAGCGCCGATTCTGTCAGCTATCTCGCTGGCTCGCCGGTAGGGACATCGGCACCCCATTTGAGGGCTCTCCATGATACTCTTTATGAGTTCAATGCATATAAACCGTTAAAGGCCGGGCGGCCTCCAGCTCTCCTGCTGGGTGGACTGGATGCCTGGGTCGATCTTTTAGGGCAACAATCCCTTGCGACATCCTCAACTGCTGCTGTCATGAGTTCTCTGCAGGCCAGAAAGCCCGTGCTTCGACCTGGTCGGCCCCTGGGGAGAGTGCCTACCATGGCTAGTGCGAATTCAAGCCTTGAAATTCGGAAGAGACGACTACGGGAGTTCACCCCTTTGAATTCGAAAGAGTTGTCCGAGTGGATGGAGAAATCTAAAGTCGAGGAGATCGACACGAGCACCTATGCCGAGGAAGACTCACTAACAGAAGAACCCGAGGAGACGGAACCAGAGCCATCCACTCCATTTGTCCACACATATGAGGCTTTCTTGCGTCGTTTCCCTGAACCGCACGATGTTCAGCAATCCATGACACACGCGGATCCCCGTCCTCCCCTTGCCGCTACTCCGAATTATGCTGCACACATGTCCGTGGCCCCCTCTCGACCACCCCCTGCTCTGCCTCGTCCCAGCTATAGCGGCGTCTCCGATGGACGGCAAATCCAACCTCATTTGCACCGACAAAATTCGGCGAGTCGAACAGCCCTGTACGCTCCAAGCTCCCGCCTAGATCGCCTCAAAATTCCGCGGACTGGATTGACCAATTTCGGTGTGACGTGCTACATGAATTCCACCATCCAGTGCCTCAGCGCAACGATTCCACTGAGTAGGTTCTTCATCGACAACCGGTTCCGCTATTATGTGCAAAAGAATTGGAAGGGGTCCCAGGGTGTTATGCCGGGACTTTATGCGAACCTGACCCGGTCGCTATGGAAGAACGATGTCGAAGTTATCATGCCGACTTCGTTCCGGAACTTCTGTGGACGCTTGAATCGAGAATGGGCCATCGACCGGCAGCAAGATGCCAAAGAATTCTTTGATTTTGTGGTAGATTGCCTCCACGAGGATCTCAATATCAACTGGCAGCGAACACCGCTTCGACCTCTGACCTTTTCAGAGGAGATGCAACGAGAGCGAATGCCGATGACTAAAGTTTCCCGAATTGAATGGGACCGATACTGCCACCGAGAAGAGTCTTTCATCTCGTCACTATTCGCAGGACAACATGCCAGTCGACTACGCTGCACGACCTGCCGACAAACATCCACTACCTACGAGGCCTTCTACAGTATCAGCGTTGAGATCCCACCAACCGGTGCCGGTGATATCTACCAGTGTCTTCGTAGCTACTGCCAGGAGGAGATGCTGAGCGGCGATGAGGTCTGGAAGTGCCCACACTGCAAATGCAAGCGAATGGCAACCAAGCAGATCATCATCACGCGAGCGCCCCAGATTCTCGTTGTCCACTTCAAGCGCTTTTCTGCATCCAAGACCCAAAGTGCACGGAAGATCCACACCCCCATCGAATTTCCGCTTCACGGTCTGCGCATGGACGATTTTGTGATTACTCACCCTTCCCCTCCCCCTCCGGAGCCCGGTATGCCGCCCACCACCGGTGCCACGGTCCCGCCATTCACTTACGATGCGTTTGCGGTGCTACGACATATCGGGTCTTCAATGGGCAGCGGACACTACATCTCACTAGTCCGCGATGCGGAGCGGCAGTGCTGGCGGAAATTCGATGACGATCGAGCCACGGACTTCAATCCGCGGGAGCTTCGACCGCGGGAGCGATTACAGAACGAGCAGGCGTATATTGTGTTTTATGAGCGAGTTCCAGCGAAATGAGCGTTTTGATTTCTAGCACATTATCATGATCAACGATTGGATAGAGGGGTTGTTTTTGGGGTGTAGATTATTATGCACATAGTATTATGGATATTTTATACACAGTCTTAGAATTTAGTATTTACTCCACCTTACAACATACCACATACCACATACCATACTACTAGCATTACTTGGAATATCCCCAAACTGCGTTAATTGCAGCGGAAAGCGGAAAGCGGATACCGACGGTGTTACCCGAGAATTGATCCCCGAGGTTACGGTTAACTAAGGCAGAGTGGCCAGGCAGTTGAGTTTATAGATGTACTGCTTACTATACTATACTATATACTATACTACTAGATAGAGTATATACTCTATGCTCTATATTCTATATCTATATCTATATCTATATTCTCTATCCTCTATCCTCTATCAGAGAATCCAAGTCTGGAAGACTTTAAGAGGCCCTGGCCAGATCTCTTCATATGGACTCTAATAAGCAGCCCCTGATTCGCCACCCCCAGATCCTATGAACATACACAGTGTGTACCTTAAGCGTATCATCAATTAGACATGAAGTGACATTTGAGATAGAAAGTAATAGATCTATTCCAATTAGAAATGCCCCCTGACCCTAATTCTCTCGTATAAGTCGGATGTAATTCACGGCATCAAATTCCCCGGTCCCTGGGCTCCACCAGAGACCCGTACCAAAACCCATTTGGGGTTCTTTTTCTTCTGTGGCACGTCTATTCTTCCTGTCATCTCCTCTCTTGTCTTCTCTTTCCCTCTTCCCCTCTTTTCCTATCCTCGAGCTACTAGCTACTTGTTACTTTTTGGACCTATTATTTCCCACCCCGAAATACCCCGTAAGTGGTTCTTCCTATCTCCCAACATTTCTCACTGTTTTCTCCTATCGCCCACTCCACTCAACAAATCCCCTCCTTCTGCAGTCTTACCCAACCCTGTCCACTGACACCAAATCTTACTCAGATACAACTCACCATGTCTGAAGTCAAGGAACTCACCTTGCAGGAGGTTTCCGCGCACAACAACAAGAAGGATCTCTACCTGATCATCAACGACAAGGTCTACGACTGCACCACATTCGCCAATGAACACCCGTACGTTGTCTTCCTATCTACCCACTGCCATCGAATCTAGAATCCCAATACCCGAAGCGAAAGAACAAGAGCGGGAGCGAGAATAGAAGAGAGAAAAAGCAAACACAAAAACAAGAGAGAGAAAAAAGCCACCTCAACCTATTCTCTCTTCCCTCTCGCATTGCTTCACCAACCCCAGATTAAATCCCAGAACCAACAAGCTAACCAATCCAACAGCGGTGGTGAGGAAGTCCTCCTCGATCTCGCCGGCCAAGACTGCACCGAAGCCTTCGACGACGTCGGCCACAGCGATGAAGCGCGCGCCCTCCTGGAAGACGGCATGTTCGTCGCCGACGTGAAGCGCATGGTATGCAACTCACCAAAACATCCCATCATCCCTACTACAAATACACCTTTCTCCCATACTCCATGTGTTCCCCTTCTACCCTCGGCAACCCACCCCCCCTCCCCCCAAAACCCCACACAATCACATGCACTAGTACTGACAATCTATCAAAATTAGCCCGGCGACCCCGTCCCCAAGGCCAAGGCCACCACCAGCGCAGACTACTCGTCTTCTTCCTCCGCCTCCGGCTTCGGCGTCGGCCTCTACGCCGTCATCCTCATCGGTGGCGCTATCGCATACGGCGCATACAACTACCTCCAGGCTCAGCAGGCTCAGCAACAGTAAACTGGCCGCACTGTCTGGGGTATTTGTTTTTTTTTGCAATTAGATGACTGTGAGAGGACTGAGTGGATTGTGTGTGGACAGAATGCAGCTCTCAATCTGAGATTTAAAGACCCGTCTTTTCCATACGGATGGGGAGTCGCTATGGCTAAAAGAGCAAAGAGAGCGTGTTTTTTTTTTTTTTTTTTTTCCGAGTTTCGGGCTTTATGAGTATTCGTCTCTTTTTTTTATATATCACCTATTTTTTTATCTATATGTATTGTCGACATACCTTATTGGATTAATCTTTTTTTTTTTCGGAATTGACTATATCAACATGAATTTGGTTATACGGCACTTGGAACATTGAAGATATCAACAAAAGCCACTTGGCCAAGCGGGCTTAATTCCTTGATACGTAGGTACGTTGGGTACGGGCCTAATACGGCAGCGGGCGCAAATCACACACGGCGGAGTCCTTTACTCCTTTGGGGATGACGATCCGATGCCTGGCATCTCCTCATCTCCAATATCTCCAATTTTGTCTTCCGAGGTTGCGGTGAAAGAGATTTCTAATCGTCCGGAGATGAGGGGAGACGAGGGGATATTGGGTCCGAGCTTGGTTGTTTGGCTATTCGACGGCGTTCGATCCGGTTCCTCTTCTGTCTTCTGGTAGGCAATCTTATATTGCAAATTATACTTCGCATATCCTGTTGTACGGAGTAGATTAGATCTACTTAGATAATCTTTTGAAAGGGAGTTCCAATCCATCCATGATGGAACCCAATTACTAACTAGATTGGAAAGCCACCTGGGCAATACTCTTGTCTCTTTCACTAAAGAGTCGGGTCCATCAATTCCTCGTAGACAATCTGAATCAGATCTGGGGGAAGTAGCTACAGGAAAAGAAGACACGATAGGATGAAAAGAGGCAAGAAGCAATAAATGCGAAAGTAAGATCAGAAGAAACTCTTTTTTAAAATCCAATATTCATGAAAATAGATACCAAAAGAAAAAGATGAAAACAAGAATCGAAGTATAAAAAGCCAAAAGAAAAGAAAAGAACTAAAATGATACTGTTCCCGCTCGCTCGAATTTAAAGCAGAGAAGGGTGGTGTAAAAGTCGGTTTCTCTATGTCAGATCAAAAACCACTGTCGCTATAACAAACCATAACCACTCATCGCGCAGCGCCGTGAAGACCGTTCTGCACGGCCTCCAGGATCATCTCCTTGGCCTCTTCCAACCCGCTGGTGCTACCCCGAATCTGAATCGCTTCACCGCGAGCCTGGTCCTTGGGCACGTTGATACGGCAACCAGTCTTTTTACGGATAGCGTTGATCTGGCTGCCGCCCTGGCCAACGACAAAGCGGTAGGTTTTGGGGTCGGGCAGGATCAGGTAGCCCGTAGTGGACTGCTGGGTTGCGGAGGCGAGAGCCTTCTCGATGACGGCGCGGGCCTTGGTCACGTTCTCCGGTGTTCCGCTGAGAACCCAGGGGAAGGGGCTTGAGGAGACTTCCGCGGTGTTGTTGTCGACGATGGTCCAGGAGTGTGCATCGGCGGTGACATCAGGGTCATCAATGATTAGGGGCATGTCGGTGCCTTCAGCTGTGGTGCGGGTGTCCTCAGCGGCAGAGGGGGCAGGCACGGGCACGGGCTGGCCGGCGTGGTCGACGGTAACCTGGTAGTCGTTACGTAGGCGGCGGAAGATGTGGCCATTGTCGGCGAGGACGTGGTGCAGGTGGCTGGGGACCTCGACGGTCTCCGCGTGCTGCTCTTTCAGCATGGACTTGAGGTGCTCTTTGGCGCTTTCGACGGCATTGCTGGGGCCCTTGAGCTTCACATCGGTACGGCCAGAGCCCTGCTTGGGGATATCAAGGGTAATGTTGAATTTGGACTCAATGCCACGGCGGTTGTCGCCTCCACGGCCGATGAGCATGCGGTGCTGGGCGGTGGGAACGTCGATGGTCTCCGTGACCTGGTCCTGGCGCTCCTTGACAAATTCTTCAATCGCGGCAATGATGCTCTCCACGATCTTGCCGTTGCCCTCGAGGCGGATAGTCGATTCGGTGCTTTCTGGACGGGGGAAACGGACCATTCTAGCGGCGCTACCATCAGTGGGGCCACCAGCGTCGGTGACAATCTTGCGGATGTTGGCACCTATATTAAGTCAGTAAATGAAAATAAGCATATCACTTTGCAGGAAGACATACCGCCTCCACCGATCAAAGCCTTGTGGTACTTCTTCTCAACCTCAATGGTCTTAGTCACAGTCGCATCGAACTCGCTAGCTCGCTGCTGCAAGATCTTCTTGGCCTCGGCAACTTGCTGCTTAGTACCCTTGACACGAATCTCCACACGGCCAGACGCATCCGGTGCGTCGTTGGCGTTAGGAACATCAATCTGAGCACCGGTATCAGCGCGAAGCTTGTCCATCTCCCGACCACGCTGGCCGATCAGGGATGCGACCTGGCTCTGGGCGACAGAGATGGCGGCGGAATGGCCGTGTTCAATGACATATTGCAGCAAGCTGAGGATCTCATCCCGAGCAGAATCGGCGCCCTTACTAGGGCCCTTAACGAGGACCTCATCCGGAGCCTGCTGAGTACGCTGGGGACGAGCACCACCAGCATCGCTGCCAGTTTCCGTGGAGTCATCATTGGCAACGGTTGCGCGGGGGAACTGAACACGGACGGAATAACGATCCTGAAGACGGTTGACCTGGTTTCCGCGCTGGCCGATCAGCTCACGGTGGTACTGGGCGGGGACCTTGAGAATGTGAGTGGTCTCATCTTCCAACTTCTTGCCCATGTTGATGATGCGCATGCGGGTAGCATCCGCCTTGGCCTTGGGTCCCTTGACCTCGACCTTCCCGTTCTCCACCTTGATATCAACATCGAACTCCTCGCGGAGCTTGTTGATGTTTTCACCACGCTTGCCAATTAGGAAGTTGGCATACTTCTGAGGGAAGTCGAAGCTAGTGGTGTAACCACGCTCCAGATCATCCTTCTCCTGCTCCACGACGAAAGCCTCCACTTTGGCAACAAGTTCAGCCACCAGGGCCGAGGGACCACGAAGGGAAACCTGGCATTGAGAACCCTTGGCATCCCCAACAATGGCACGCACAGGGATGCTGTCCTCGCCCTTAGCTTCCTGCTCGCGGGTGATGAATTTACGTGCCTTCTCCTGGTATTTGGCAGGGACGGAAACCGTCTTGGTAACAATGTCATGCTGGTCTCCGAGAGCGCCCAGGAGGAATTCCTGGGCCTCTTGAAGTCCCTTCTCGAAGGCTGCAACATCTGCGGGGGAAGGGCGCTGTCTGGGGACCTCAAAGCGGGAGGCAGTTGCGGAGGGGCCTTCGTAGACAAGAACAACCTCGGGGCAGTTGATGTCATCCGGCACCATAAGGTGGACACCATAGTCATGCTGGAGGGCGCTGGCGCTTCGGTCACGCAGGTACTGGTGGAAGTACGGGTCTACAGAGACGTGGCGGAGTCTAGAAGGCGGGAGAGCCTGGACTAGGTTCATGATATCGGAGCGGGCACGAATGGTGTTCTTGCCGTCACGGGAATACACCTCCCAAGTGACGGGTCCGCCAACGCTAGGAGGAAGCGCAATGTGCGCATCGTAGGTGGATTCGAGTTCCTTGATGACCTGACGGCGACGGAGGTACTGCGAGAGAGCGCTTGCGTGGGCATTGGGACCGGCGGGGGCATTGGGGTGCTGGCGAGACAGATCAATGCTAGCCATCTGCATGCTTGTCGCAAGATCCATAGCGTGTTCAATACCAGCCTCGATCTGGTCGAGGGGACCGGTGATGGTGAGGAACTCACTCTCATCGGAGGCAGGAGGCAAGACAATGGCACATCCGGTCTGTGCAACGAACTGGTGCAGAGCATCAGCCTCATTGCCCAGGATGAACTGGTGCTGGCCACGGTTGATGGCCAGCTGGCGCAGAGTAAGCTGCTGCTGCAATTGTGCGGCCAAGCGCTCAATCTCGGCTCGAGCCTCCTGTGCGGCAGCCCGTTCTCCGGAAATCAAAATGTGCTTATCAGGCACGGCCACGAACTGGACCTGGCCAGGGTTGGCCTCCTGAGGAGGAGGCTGGCTCGACCAAGTATCATAGCGCGGAACATTGATCTGCGCTTTTGTGCGCTCTTCAATGGACCGCACGTTGGCGTCATGTGCACCTGCAATGAAGGGGAAGAACTCGGGAGGAACGGTCTTCAATCGGAAGCTCATGTTTGCGCCGCGCTCCTTAACAATCGCCTCGATCTCGCGACGGGCCATCTCCGCGGCCACGGCATCTCCCTCAATCAAAATATCAATGGTATCATCGTCATCATCGTCGGCACCAGCAGCGTTGCCGTCGGCGCGGGGGACCTGAACACGGGCACCGGTGCGGGTCTGGATATCCTGCACAACGGTACCTTGACGGCCAATGATGTGAGCGCGCGCAGATGTGGGAATGGGAACACGGACGGATTGCTATTGAGATGAATTGGTTAGCCTAGATACTCGCTGTGCGCACGTCCAATCCACATACCTTAGATCCAACCTGCTGAGCTACCTCGCGGAGAGCCTGGCGCACTGCATCTACGGAGCCCTTTCCTTCGAAAATGATTGAGCCACCGGGGCCACCGCGCATATCAACATTGGCCTTTGATCTGCGGGAGATATCCCGGAGGATATCACGAAGAGGCTTCTTCATCTGTCCACGGGGTTGCATCTGGGAGGGTGCTAGGCGCAGCTGCTCCATGTGCTTTCCGGGGAGGGCCATTATACGGGGGATCTCTGTTCCAGTGTCAAAAAAAGTGTCCAATTCGGGGGAGCCTCCAAAGTAATGCACGTACCCATTGACTTCGCAGGCGAGCCATTTGCAACAGCAGTGGCCGCAGAAGGCTTCTTCGCACCCCATGTAGCGGCCGCGGGGGCAGCAGGCTTCGGACCGCTGCCCAAAGCTGGGAACAATTCTTCGGATTGAACGTCGAATGCCGGGGCCTTTTTGGCGGGCTTGGAGGCGGGCGCTGGGGAAACGGTTTGGGCGAGGGTGGTAGACTCGGGGGTGTCAGCGTCAACGAGGAGGGGCTGTTCGGGCTGCAGCGAGGTCGGAGGGGGGTGTTTGAGGTCTTCCTCGTCCACGGTTTCCTCCACAGTGGGCTTGTATTCCTCGTCGCGGGCGTGCTGTTGTTCCAACATGGCGGCGAGGGATCCGCCGTTGGCAGAGGTAGATGGTTCCGAAGCCATTACGAGTGATGGAAATCGACAAGGTAAATCGGGGTTGGAGACAAGGTTTAAATGGGCTATGCACAAGATCCTGCAATCAACACGGGCCCGGATCAGTATGCAATCAGGACAGATCATCGTAAACCCAGATGCAATCAATGGCATGACAAGAACTTGGAAATAACTCACAAGTGAAAATATATCCTTCCTCTTTTGTAATTGAGTGGGATATATAGCTTTTCAGGAGAATGCGGATGCAATTCAGGAAAATGCAATAGCGATTTGGACTGACAAAGCGCCGAGAATCGAAAAAAAGAAAGATACAGGGGCTCAAGAAGAGGAGCCACCTGAAAAGAAAAGTGAGGAGACGTGGGAGAGAAGAAGAGAGGTGAGAGGTGAGAGGAAAAGAAAGATCGAGAACCCCAGACAATCCAGAAAGTAAAGTACACAAGAAAAGGCCAGCTCGAATCTCCGGGGGGGTTTTTCTCCGAGTCCGTGACTACACTTTGCACTTTTTTGAACTCTTTGCCTCTTCTTTTTTCCCCCTGGGATTGAGAATAATAGTTATGGAGTTGAACTTATCCAGGTGAATTTGAGATATAATATTAATAGCTGTAACAGCTGTTCTTCGCTCTCATCCGGGGACGTGCAACGGAATTCCATTCAAGTCCACCTAGGCAATCGCAGAGCATTTATAAGCAATCTCAAGAATAACTGAATCCATACATAAGTTATAATTTATACTCTTTTATATCACACAGAACTAGATTCCGCACGTGGCCACAGTGCGGCAAGTGGCCAATTGATAATACACGTCACTGTGGCTACACCTCGGTATATATATAGGGGGATTGGTGATATTCAATAACTTCCAATGATCCCCAATGATATTCAACCATTTTAAATATAAGCATAGATATGATCTGCTTTCGCAGCCCCACCAAAGAGAACAATATTCTCCCGTAAAGCTTAACTTGGATTTCTAATGGCGCTTCAATCTTGTGGATATTCATTTGCATTATAGGACGGCTATGGTTGGCTATTTCGTAGCATTTTGTTGGATATATATATATATGCCTAGGTTATCCACTATGACAATATCTCCGCGCCGAAGATATCGAATAGTGTTCATTTGGAGTTTGAGTGTCTTGGGGGTTGACCTTCTTCGGCTAGGCTTTTGGGATGATTTTTACTTAGAAAGGGTGTCACCCTATGATGATGATATAATTTATGGTTTACGATTGGGTCTTTGAAGCGTCCTAGATTATGTACCAGGCGAAACATCTAACTATGGGTGTTAGGGTACTATATAGGTGAAAGACATCTCCCGGCAATGTCTCATAAATTTTAGGTATTTTTCTAAGGCAGCTTTCTCAATATCTTATTTGGTATTACGATCCCTGTCTTGGCAAGTTGTTGGATCCCTGTGAAATTCCTTGCTCTTTTGATCTTGTCCGGAAGCATATATTGCTCCATTCTCATCAACCAAACCAACAAAGCGCCAACGCCAGCAGTCGGTTATTGTTGTCTATTTGGGCGCAATGCCAGCCCAACTATTTGCATCCCCATTTGCCAAAAACCAACAACTAGTCCAGTCACCCCTGTCTGGCATCTACGGGTGTCCTCGCCCTGGGCTTTACAAGCTTGAATTGGCTGCTTGCAGTCTATGTAGAGAATTTCCTTTCTTTGTTTGGATACTAGAGAATCTCCTTCTTTGCCAATATTCAGAAAAGGAAGCCTCACTGGTTACAATCTGGATGCCTGACAGGATTCTTCTCGGAGGTTAGCTATGTATGCGGGCCCGGCCGCATTCCTCCGCGGTCTCGCTGGTTGGATTGTGGCATGGTGGAGACATATACTATGTCAGTGCACTTGCCAAGGTTATTAAGGAGAATTGCCCTGGCATAGATAATCGGGTTCGCTTCTATGTTGCACTCGGTGCTCTCAATCTTGGAGTCGGGGTATGTGAGACGCTAAATGTAATTAGGAGATATTCACGGCGTTACCTACAACGGTACGTGCTACGTGGTTTGAGTGAAAGCGAAATGTTATAGATATCCAAGCAGTCAATTGACCCAAATAAGAATATAAGGGCCATATTATATAATTAAGATTTGCCAGACACAAAAAGAAGCGCATCATGATAGACTCAAGATGGCATGGGTATCGAGCAAACGAGTGCAATACCTCCAAAAGTATATGAGCCCAACCATTGACAAGAGAAGGAAAAAATGTAAAAGAAATATGTATCGGCGTCGCGGGCCCGCCACAAGAAGTATGTGCATTAAGTGGCCTTCACAACAGGCCAGCCGTTCTCCCAGCCGAGAACGTTCCACGCGTACCTGTAGTTCGCATTGTCGGGTTCGGTGGTGCTCTGCTTGGTTGCAAGAGGGTAGTAGTGGTAGTACATGACGACACCAAGGTCCTTGTCATTGACAACACCAGGGCCACCGGGGCCGAATACCTGTCCGTGGCTGGAGAGGAGCATGGTGCCGCCGGTCTCCTTGCAGGACTTTCCATCAGCATCAACCTATAGGATAAAAATGTTAGTGCGGTTGTCTTTGCAAATGCACGGGAGGATTGGAAAACATACAAAGTCACCAAGACCGGTCGAGGATCGGCAAACACGAATGTGGTACTCAGCTCCCTCAGCCGGGTATGTCTTTGTGTACTTGCCCGCAATACCAGCGGAGTAGAGGAGGTAGTAGTAATCGCCGTGCTTGAACTCGTACGAGCCCTCCTCACGGTGGTTGAGGGTAGCATTCCAGGAGATTTGGTAGGGAGTTGCGCTGCCAACTTGCAGAGGAGTCTCCATCTGGACCTGGAAGATATCTCCCCAGAAGGAACCAAAGTTCATATAGTTCTTGCCGCCAATGGTGATCCAGGCGGGATCAATACGGTTGTAGTTGTCGTTTGCGGGGAGGCCAATAGAGCCGTGGTCTGTCCAGCTGCCAGGTTCCATGGTCTTAGATGTTGCTACACCGATCTGTGAGTTCTGAGTGCCGATCTTTGACAGGACGTAGTACATATAGTACTGGTCGTTCTGGTAGTGGACATCAGGGGCCTACAAGGTGGATTATGTTAGCTACTAGACATGGTTATAATTTCCTGAGCATTTTCGGGTCTTTTCTTACCCAGATATTCGTGCTGTCCACGCCATCCAGGGTAATCTTCGACCCATCTGGCAACGCCGAACCAAGGTCTGTCCATGGACCTTTCACCGACGGCGAGCTATGAGTGCTAACACCGGTACCCGTCGAAAAGCGGTAGTATTTACCATCAGACACACGCTGGATCATGGCAGGGTCATGAGCCCAGCAGTTGCCTGTGCAAGGACCCCGGTTGGGGTATGCGCTGGCGAGTGCAGTAAACAGAAGCGGGACGAGACCAAACATTATGTATAAACAGAAGGGAAGTCGGGCTGTGAATAAAAAACACTCTGGGAAGGAGGGATTATGTCCAATTTATGTTGATTCATTCTACACCATTCGCAGCTCCCTACGGTTGGGGCCCGAAGTATGACCACTTCGCATATAAACAGCTGATCCAATCATCGGCTATTAACCCCTGCGCATCGTATCTGGGCGATGTAAGGTGCATGTCAGTATTGAATCCGGTCTAACTGTAGTTAGCCCCGAAAGGGATGAGCTCATTACCGAGCTCCAAGGAGTTCTGCTCCTGTGGATCCTTAAATAAAAATAATAAAAATAATAATAATAATAATAAAAATAAAAAAAACAAGTGTTTTCTGCATAAACAAAGCATTATCAAGTGTAAAGTGCATACACCTACCGTATAGAACTTTTTATCTTTGTGATGTCTCCCATTGTACAAGGCGCAGTCAACGCAAGTTATATTAGCTTCACTCGATTCGATCTTCTGCATATCTCCCCCCCATGAGTTACACCCATGACCATCTGACCTAAAAGTCTAGAAGCTAAAGGTCTCGGCAGCAGTCTCGGCAGCAGGAACGGGATAGCAGATGTGTTGTTCGCTGCAAGTGTATGCTGGTTCCACATTCCCAACAGCAAGGGAGAGAGCATCTACTCTAACACTATTGAATTCTATGCGAGAGCTTCAAGAGAGGTCAAGTCTGTTTGAAATTTTAATTCTATCTTCTACTCTTGTTATATCCAGATAATGAAAACCGTGGAACACATCACATCCCATTAACTTGCGTGGCTTGATTCTTGTTTACGCCGGGTGGATGATCTGCACCCATGTGGACCAACTGCGGACGATATTAAGCCAATCATCGGGAAAGTCCTGTGCGTGAGATCCAACACTAGCTTAACTAGTATTTGATATTGAAAAAAAGCTAAAGAAAAGAGTGCGTGTCATGCGGATTCGTCAGAGTCTGTGCAGATAGTCAACTCTCTTCATCAAAAAGCGGGGGAGATCGCCATATTGACAGTAAATCACATCAGGTGCGAAAGAATATATTCACTTGATCTGGCCCGAGGAAATGGTTGATTCTATCTGCACAACGAAAACAAAATTTCCGATATAACACGTCATCCGCGCTATAAATCACCCGATCAGACAACCGTGCCGTTGAGCCCCTTTGGGCCTCGCTTTGGGCACAGCGCCCGATGTAGATACGTTGGTTTTAGTCCCAGTAGGGTTTCTCTCAAGTAATCATGCTCATGCCAAGAACATTCAGCTAGGCTGAGTCTCAGTGTATCTATATAGCGATTGGGCTTACCGCTAGTTATATTGGAGATCGGCGTCAAAGTAAGGCGGGGTTGATCTGGGGTCGGACTGGGGTAATTCGGGGCGGCTGATGAGAGCCTCTTCCATTGGAAAGTCTATCAATTAGCATTGCACTGCCGGGACAGGGGTGAGCTCCTGCTAAGAATATCCATAGATATCCCACCTGGGCAGAGTAATGAGGACAACCAACGGGCGTAGGGATCATTTTTCTTGTTTTCTACTCGTGTTTTTCTATCTTTCTGTCAGACAATGTGTTAAATTTCGATTTATCTAATTCATCACAGTCTTATAGTTATATATTGGGGGTTGGCACATTGTCACGCATTGCTGTCAAGCTGAACCAGAAACAACGCTAGATGCATCAAGATCTATCAACTAAGAGCATAGGACCAGCAATGGAGTGAAATTAAGTTCAATTAGAATATTCTAACAGCCATGTTCTCCCGATACTGTTCGACAACAAAATGATAATGCGACGAACATTTGTGATCCTCAATGTTAACATAGAACACAACCACAGCAGCCCATCCACATATCATCTCTTCATCACCCCCACCCCCCAACTCTCTCTGTATTCCAGTATTTGGGTCAAAGATCCCCCACCAAATCCTACATGAGAACCACCCCTTCCTAGCTTATGCACAGGCTTAGATATGAGGAGCTGAACCAGGTCCGGGGCCTAGCATGGTAGTCGGGTCTTGGTCATAGTACTGTGAGTTCCAGTGTTGCCAATCTTGCTCAAGTACTGGGTCATAATATTGAGCATCGACAAATGGACCCTCTTGTGGCACGGGATAGTTTGGTTGCATTGCTTGAGGAATGGGAGGGTAGCCCTGATGCCAAGATCCATACATTTGATGTTCTGTAAACTCGAGCGCTTCGTTCCTGTCGGTAATTTGGCTGATCATGTTCTTCAATTCTTTAATTTCTGCGAGTATCTCTCGGAGCATTTCAGTTTGCTCACCGTCGGTGACATCGGGAGTGGATTCAAGCGGAGAGAGACCGCTCGCATTCGTGCCGCGAAGGCGAGAATAGGGTTCCGGGGTCCTGGGGCTTACGAATTTGGGCTCTGAGGCTGAAGAGACATTTTTGATAGGGGTATTTGGCCAAGGTTTGCCGAGATAACTGGCCTTTTTCTCCTCACTAGCCAGCCACGAACGAAAAGAATCGACCACACCGTATTTCGGGGTCGGGATCGTCTCCCCGGTGAGAATTTGCCTCCATTTGGGAAGGACTTTATCCAAGACATCATCTGAGAGAAGTCGATTACCTTGTTCATCGGTGGCCAAGGCGACATTCCAGTAAGGAGATCGAACCGTCCAGGCAACGTAGCCGGTCACGTAAAAGACGTCGGGGTGCTTTTTCATTGTGTCTTTGTCGCCCCGGGTCATCACATCCCGCATATCATGGTCAAATTGTAGGGTTCCCTTGGGGTCAGTGATAAGATAATCATCCATCCTATCTTCTTGAGCTTTCCGTGATGTCAGTATCGTCTACCGATGCTTGAACTGAACAGTGTCTTTACCGTTCTCTTGCTCACAGAGATCTTCGAATGATACCTCTTGATCCCCCATAGATTCCAACTTCTGCAACAGCTTTTCATGTGCTTTGTTATCCATGAGGACGTGGAGTTTTGTCATCCACTTCTGACTACCAGTAAAAGAGTCGGGAAGTGGGAGCTTCTCGATTTGTTCGAGGGTAGATGATGTGCCAAATGGGAGCAGAAGATGAGCTAGTAGCTCTGGGATATCAGGAGGAATTGGGTTATTCTCTTCGATGTCGCCAAGCCACTGGGGAAGACATGCAGCAAGTGCCGTTGCCTTGCATATTTTGTTACCGGACAAAACCCGGGACAACAAATAACTGATTGTGGTATTCTCAACTGCAGTAATAGTGGGAGGAGATGTGGTGTTTCCCACCATAATGCTGTGTCCCGAGAAGGGAAAGAACCTGGCGGAACGCGAGAGTCAAGAAATGTGATTAAGAGAGAAGGTAAGGTTAAGACAAACAGACCTGTGAAAAGAGTAGACTTGTGTAAGTGGACAGATGTGAGAACTGTAGTATCGCAGGGAACGCGTGACAAGATAGGCAGGAGACTTTGGAAGCCGAAAGAATCGTTAGAGCCCAGATAAAAGCCGCTGGGGATGCAAGAAAATGGATTGAATACTTGACAACAAGAGAAGCAAATCCGACGAGAGAAGGCCTACCACCTATAAAGGGAAAGAGCCCGATCAGATAACTTGTCAGCTAGGTCATATCGGTGATTCTGAGGGGCGATAACTTGATAGAAGGGTGGATGGAAAGAGAGGTAGTGTGGGGAAGGGCAGAGGAGAAAAGCGTGGGAGAAGAGCCTTTGAGAATAAACAGAAGGAAGTGGTTGCTATGCGAGCAATCCCCATACGCTGATGTTTTTCAAGTCACATGTGAGGACAGTCCTTGTCAATCTAGTCGAATACTACGACATAATTTCTTTCTTAATCTACTTATATGGATATTGGAGACAATGAATAGACCTGGTTGCAAGCAGCCACATATGAAGACCAAATGATACATCGGTGCCAGTGGACGTGGTAAATGTATGACCATGCTCCACTTTGGCTGGTAAGTGAAGAGATCCTTCGTGTCATAGGCTTTCATTCTGTTTTGCTCCCAAATCCAGACACTAGTAATCGTTTGTAAAGATCACTCTCATCATATCAAAGTAGTTCAGGTGGGAGCTTCCTCCTAAAGTTCCCATGGATATCACGTCTGAATGTAAACATCTGTATATCATCCGGTATTAATGATTCGAAGAGATTTGAACTTTACCTAGATAAGGTTCAACATGGTCGAATAAAGCTCGATCACATCAAATGCATAGCTAGACAAAGGAAGTCCGACACCAAACCTACAGACCGAATTTCTGGAGTTCGAATCAACATATAAAGGGGTACACATGGTATCATCCTTAGCTTCGTCATTGGTCTCTGGGCCATCAGTGATATAGACCATATTCTGATCAGGCGAGGATGCAATTGAATTCGGCAGACCAAAGCTACCAGTAATAACACGCGAATCCTTGGTAGAAGGAGTAAAAGTAAAAGCGGTAAACCTGACTAGGCAGCTTCGGGTTGGGGCTAATCCCTGCGCCACCTGTCGTCATGAACGGCATTGTCACTGAGAGGATTGGAGTGACGGCCGTAGAAGGTATTGAGTAGCAGGGGAATGTTGTACGCTGGAGTCCCGAACATCTGGAACGTCAGGGCTGTTCATAATGCTCTCCACCATCCACTCGATGCTATTGTCGCGATTGACGCCACCATTATCCAATGGCTTGCCTAAATATAGGCTAAGGATGGGATTTGTTATTCTGGGACTATATCCAAGTATATTCAAGTGATGTCAATAAACCCACTTTTGTTTCCAAACTCTACGGTGTTAATTGGAACAGCCAGATCTGGTGAGATCTAAGCACCATGCGGTGAGATTCTCCAAGGCTGTGTCTTTAAACAATACATGTGAAAGACTGGCTAATTTCTGTGGTCTTGGAGTTGAATGCATGGATATCCATGGATGTTGAGATCGCTTATGATGTCTCGTCTCACTGCTGCCTGATAACGCAGGCAACAATAACTTCCGACTTTCGGCCGATTTGCCCCTTTTCTCTTGTCTCTTCTCAAATACTGTGGATCTCGGATTGTATCGCCAAGGAGGGTAGATATCGAGGCTAACCTATTAAAGCGAGATATGAAATTGCAGAAACCTCCATGGAAGTCATGGGAACATTTTCCAACACCATTTAAAAGGGTCGGTTTCAGGCCAAATCCTAGACCTCGCTGGACTGGATCAACGATGGTGAGATGAAGAGGAGGTTTAGATAATGCTCAATCTTTGAATTGAGGTTGACCAGTCGAAAAACGCCCTTATAGCCCGGACTACGTCTCATTCCGTCTCACTACTTGAGCAAACGCTAAAGCCATATCGAAGAGGTGCTATATACCGATTCGAGTCGAAATGAAATGAGGAAAGAGAGAATCATGGTAAAACCAGTGGAAACAGACAGACTCTAATCGACTTTTGTGTGTTTGTGGGAGATTTGAATAGCAAACGGCGAGATATCGAAGGCGACCAACGGTGGCGCATATGGAAGAAAAATGCGCCGAAGCCCGCGGACCAGCAAATCGGTTACAATGGCCATAATCCAGGAGGGATCTGTGCGAACGGTGCTTTTGCTACGACTCAAGGGTCTAAATTAACAGCTGCCCAACCACGAATTTCAATGTGCCGAGTGATGTTGGCTTGCTTCCGTCACACTTGACCCCCGTCCAACCCTGTGCGGTTTAACCTTTTTGGGACGTGTCCGGCTACCTGCCAGGGGTAGAAGGGGCCTGAACAGAGTGTACAAGTACTTCTCTGTTTGTTTGATTTAGATCTACTCGGTAGTAAAAAGAAGGTCCTTGAATTAAGAAAAGATGTAGCAATTAGTATTGAGTAAATTAAAGATAGTGGATCTCGTATAGAAGCCGTTAACTGTGATAAGAGGCAATATTAAACGGGGTAGAAGTTTGAGACCAGTTCTATTCTTAGGATACCATCCGGACTAAAAATGAGGAATATATGTTTCTTCATATAGAGTGTCTCTAACTCGATTCTAATTGTATACTAATAGTAACCTTATCTGTATAAGATTCATAATAATTTGAAGGAGTTGCTTTACAAGATCAAGCCTCCCCATAAACCTGTCAAACCGCCCCAGCCACCCCGACTCCTTTTCCCAAAGACTCCACGTGCTAAACATCAACCTCCTCTCTTCTCCATATTTCCTTCCAATCTTCCATTCCATCTTCAAGAACCTTCGGGGACCCGGTTATTCTCCGCGGTTATAATTCCCCCTCAGGTCGTGAACTTGGTTGGTCCAAAAAAAAAAAATACCCAAAAAAAACTCCTGCATCTGACCCCTCCTCGGCCCAATTTCAATCTGTCTCGTGTAGAGACAGAAATCTGCCCACCATGAGTCAGGACAATTTCCCATTGAAATTCCGCCGAGCATCTAGCAAACTTAACAAGGAAGCCCCTAGCTTCAGTTCGCGCATTCTTCGGAGTCATCAGAGCACCACATCGTTGAAACGCACCCCCTCCGCCCCCGTCTATCCACGTTCCTCTCCTAGCAGCAGTCGCGAGCATAATCGATCACGATCCAACGCCCAATTCCCAGGTTCTTCCTCGTCGTCTCTGGATCAGAACAGTGGCGGTCCGTCGCCTTCCAACGACGAATCAAGTGGCTTCTTCTCCAATTTGACCTCCCGGTCTCGCACTCGCAGTTCCAACCGTTTTTCCTACAACGAGCAGAGCTCAGATGAATTGAACGGCCCTTACGAAACGCGGGGCATGCTTAGTGCATTGGATGAGAATAGCGCCGAGACTGAACCTCACTCGCAACAAAAGCCCGGACTCCGCTCTCACCACACCAGCCCCGATACTCGCGGACGCCACTCACTCCGGCAGTCAGCTAGCTTCACCACTCTAACGCAACGAATGGATACCTTTGCTCATCGCGAGACCGAAAGGCCTCCAAACGCCGCTAAACGATATTCTGGCGATGGCAATCCTCCCGCCGCTCCCCGAACGAGACAGAGCAAAAAGGCGAGCTTTTCCAGGTTCGTGGACAGTATGCTTGGAAGCCCCGGTCGCAATATGAAAATTTCAGCCCCCGAGAATCCGGTTCATGTCACCCACGTTGGCTACGATAATCAGACCGGCCAATTCACTGGTCTTCCCAAAGAATGGCAGCGACTACTACAGGAGAACGGTATTTCGAAGAAGGAGCAGGAGGAACACCCGCAGACTATGATGGATATCATGCGATTCTACGAAAAGAACACCCGTGGCGACAGCGATGATGAAGTCTGGCACAAGTTTGACAATGCGCAAGCTGCTCAAGCTGCGCAAGCCACCAGCCCAAGAGAACAAACGTCGCCACCGGGAAGTCCACGATTCCCGCAAAATCACGAAAGCAGCTTCGAGAATCCACGATCGCCCCCGCCAATTCCTCGCGGCCCTCCGACAGCCCCCGCGCCGGTCATGTCTCCTCCACTGGGCGGTATGGTGCCGCATCGTGCTCCCCCGAAACCGCCCACCGGGATGACCCCCTCCCGCCCCCCTCCTCAACCCCCAGTCTCGAATTCGTACGGAGTCCCGCAGCGAGTTCCTCAGGAGAATTATGCTCCGACATTTGGCACTCCGACTATCCCAGAATCCGAGCCATTGTCATCACCACCCCACCGCAGTCGCTCCAGTTCCCGAAATCGCACCCCTGCGCCCAGCGTCTCCAACATTCCCAATGTCATCGCATCCCCAACACAATACCAGCGGCAACAGGAGCAGGTCATGGCCGCGGCCCAGCAGACTTTGGAACGGAATCGCACCCAACGCCAGAAAGCACAGCAGCCTCCGGCCATCTCTACATCAACCAATGCTCCGGCACCAGATCTTTCGTCTGGAGTGTCACCCACCACGCGCGCTCCACCCGCTGCTAGACCTAGACAGCGCCAGCAGCGACAAAGCAGCGCCTTGGATATTCGGGAGCGCTTGATGTCAATCTGCCACCCTGGTGACCCCACGCAGATCTATTACAACTTCAACAAAATCGGCCAAGGTGCTTCGGGTGGTGTGTACACAGCGTATGAGCATCCTCACAACAACTGTGTTGCCATCAAGCAGATGAATCTAGACCTGCAACCCAAGAAGGACTTGATTATCAACGAGATCTTGGTTATGAAGGATAGCAAGCACAAGAACATCGTGAACTTCTTAGAGAGCTTCTTACATGGGCTGGATCTTTGGGTTGTGATGGAATACATGGAAGGCGGCAGTCTGACAGACGTGGTTACCTTCAACATTATGAGCGAGGGACAGATCGCAGCTGTTTGCCGAGAGGTGAGTACAGAATGATTAATCCCGTGTCAAGATAAGATCGTGAGATACTAACTATTTCGACTAGACTCTGGGCGGTCTCCAGCATTTGCATTCCAAGGGTGTCATTCATCGAGATATCAAATCCGACAACATCCTGCTGGCAATGGATGGTAACATCAAGCTGAGTAAGTTTCGCGCCGTCTCGTGTCGAAATCATACTAACAATCTCCAGCTGATTTCGGTTTCTGTGCTCAAATCAATGACTCGCAGAACAAGCGGAACACAATGGTTGGTACCCCGTACTGGATGGCCCCCGAAGTTGTTACTCGCAAAGAGTACGGCCGCAAGGTCGACATCTGGAGTTTAGGCATCATGGCCATCGAGATGATCGAGGGCGAGCCGCCGTACCTGACAGAGTCCCCGCTGCGAGCACTTTATCTGATTGCCACGAACGGAACACCCACCATTAAAGATGAGCACAATCTATCCCCGGTCTTCCGCGAATTCCTTCACTTTGCCCTGAAGGTTGACCCGGAGAAGCGGGCGTCGGCGCATGACCTACTGAAGGTACTTACTCGTTCCTATCTCCTATTGCTTTGGCTGCGATAACTGACATCTTGCTCTTTAGCACCCATTCATGTCTCTCTGCGCACCACTATCGCATCTCGCCCCCTTGGTCAAGGCTGCTCGTATCAGCCGCGCCCAAGAAAAAGCCCAAAAAGGAGGCGCTTGAAGAGGATGCTGATGAATGGCCACTTTTCTTTTCCTATGTTTCGGTTTTATTTCGTCGTACTTGATATCTCTTGACGTCTTGCTCAGATACCCCGTCACTCCCAATGTTTCTTCTAGATCCCGACGTGCACTACAGTACGTTTTTGGAATCCATTTATGTACCCATTCTACTTCTTTATTCACTTCTTCACATCGATTGTCGATGAAAATGACTCCATTCCATGAGCACATTGCCTGTGATATTATCTGTTTTGCCGCTCACTGTCTCTGTATTGATCGTGGTGTCTGTAATCTTTTGTAGTTCTATTTGCTAGTTCTATTGTCGTCAGCTTATCATGAATACAAGCAGCTAATGAGTTTCGAAATCCACAACCTGATTCTACAGTGAGGAAGTATGTGTGCCTAAAGTAGTGGGGATATGTTCAGCCACAGCCGGTAAGTAAATGTGGGAAGAAGAAACGGAGCAGCCTACAGAGTACTCCGCAGGGCGAAGTCGTAACTACCGTGAAGGAAAAAAAAAAGGAGAAATGAAAGAAAAATTAGAATTCCAATGCCCAGGCAGACATAATATAGGAAAAATCTGTTCCACTTGGATAATTCAAGCTAATAATATCTTAGCATGCATGGTACAACATACGAATACGGGTCTCTGGGGCACCGTCGTCATATGCTGACTCAGGTGACGAGTTCCGCCCGAACACACTAGGTACCCCCAACACTGTCTGATCATCCCCAAGGACCTGATTAACAGATACCCAGCACTGCAATAACAGTCGCTTGCTATACCATTCCTTGGCAAGGTCCTGTCTCTGTGATATTCACACCGCCTGCATCAACCCGCAGCTTAGCCGCATCCTTTGCTGTCGTCGACTCCCCGCATTCGGTACTGGAGGACCGTCGCTACGAGCTACAGAACCAATTTTTGAAAGAGAGTGTTGTCTTGGACACGAAACCTAATTGGAATCTGTTGCCGGACTATCGCCACGTGCAAAGAAGGCAAGCCGCCTGTCAGAAGCTGAGCAGTGCTGCCCAACTTCTCCAATAATTCACATACCACCCGGCGATTACCTGTGACGGTCAGAGGACATACATTCGTGATGTTTCGCGCGCAACAGAACCACTTCGATGACGCCGTTGGTAAGTTACACCAGTTCCTTCTCCGCTAGATATGCCATAGAGGAAAGCTTCGGGAGCACATTGAATCTGCTTGTGCGACGTGTTTACTGACGATATTTATTTTTGTATAGCCAAGGCGACGGACGAGAATTTGACCTCCGAGAACTGGGAATTTATTCTGGTGCGTTGTGCATGAAACTATATTGAATTGTTGGAATCACCACGGCTTTGGGACATGACTGATTCGGCTTTTGCGGTTTAGGATGTCTGTGACAAAGTTGGCTCGGAGGAATCAGGGTACGTGGCTAGCTTGGAGTTTTCAGTCTCGTCTAACTTTACCTAAAGCCCCGTTGCTGATTCTTGCCGTGATATAGTGCGAAGGAGGCCGTGGCTGCGATGATCAAAAGACTGGCCCACCGAAATGCCAACGTTCAGCTCTATACATTGGAGGTTCGTGGCCGGATACTGTGCTCCTGGAAGCAACGAATAATTCCCTGGTTTATGGCCATAACTGACTGGTTTCTAGCTTGGAAATTCATTGTCGCAAAACTGTGGGCTGAAGATCCATCGCGAGTTAGCTTCGAGAAGCTTTACTGATGCTCTACTACGCTTGGCGAATGATCGTGTAAGCATATCTCGAACTTTCGACTTTCCTCAAATGGCAAATATTAATCGTGGATTTTGTCTAGAACACGCATCAACAAGTCAAATCCAAGATCCTAGAGCGCATGGAAGAATGGACTGAGATGTTCGCATCCAACCCGGATTTTGGCATCATGGAACAGGCATACATGAAATTAAAATCCACAAGTAAGTATATGTTCTACGTATTGAATCTCGGGCTCGGCTAATTATATCACAGACCCGAATTTGCAGCCACCGTCGAAACCCGGAAAGCGTGAGATCACCGATGTTGATCGTCAGATGGAGGAAGAGGAATTGCAGATGGCCCTAGCCCTCTCGATTAAAGATAAAGCAACCCCGGCTGCTGCTGCGGCGGCGGCAGCACCTCGAGCTGAGGCTTCGTCTGCTGCTACTGTTGCGTCCGCATCGGCTCCCACAAACCAAGGGGAGCCCGCCGAGAGTCAACCCGCTCTCTCAGGTACATCGGTAGCTACCGTGTCGCGTGTGAGGGCGTTGTTCGACTTCCAACCGTCTGAGCCAGGGGAGCTTCAATTCCGCAAAGGCGATACCATTGCAGTCCTGGAGTCTGTTTACAAGGATTGGTGGAAGGGCTCCCTGAGAGGCCAGACCGGAATTTTCCCTCTCAATTATGTGGAGAAACTCCCAGACCCCACAGTCGGTGAGCTGCAGCGAGAGGCTCAGATGGAGGCGGACGTCTTTGGCCAGATCAAGAGTGTCGAGAAACTCCTGACTCTACTGAGCACCCGCAATACAGACCTCAACGTCCAAGAAAACGAAGAGATTACTACACTCTATCAAGCTACGCTTGCGATTCGTCCAAAACTCATCGAATTGATTGGGAAATATTCGCAAAAGAAGGGTAGGCAACGAGTCGTTTGTTTTCCCATGGATGTCTTGCTTACAAATGTCTAGATGAATTCACCCAGCTCAATGAAAAGTTCATTAAAGCTCGTCGTGACTATGAGTCCCTCCTTGAGGCGTCGCTAGCCCACCCGGCACAGCCTCAATATGGACGACCTGCCCAGCCACAGTATGGTTATCCTAGTGCTGCACCTGCCGGATACCCCTCTGCTCCTCAGGCAGATCCTCGATATTTCACTCCCCGGCCTCAAGGTTAGTAGTCTTTAGAAATTACCTACCGCATCCCAGTTCTAACTTGACTTGCCCAGACACCACGCCAACCCCGGCAACTGCATACGCACCATACCCCACCAGCGAGCAGACTATGCCGTATCGCCCGGCCTCTCACTCCCCTGATCCTCGCAACCAGGCTCAGGCCAGCGCACCGCAGCAGCCTCCTCATTCCGACCCTTACCAACCTGTTAGCCACCGTCCGCAATCTACATACGACAATCCCCAAGAATTGGGGACCTCTGTTTATGATTCACCTGTCGATCATCCTGCTCCCGCCCAGCGCCTGCCGTACCCCCCAACTGCTCAAGCCCCGCCTGCTGGCCACCAGCAATTCCAGCAGCAGCAGGACTACTCCCCCTCAGTCTACCCCGCTGATGAGGCATCTCAAATCCCGCACCAGTTCCAGCAACAACAGCAACAACCCCCGTATCCCAACTCTCCCGGTGCTCCTTCCGGTGCCCATCAACCTCCTCCATCGCACCAGCCTCCGCCGGTACCTGGAGCAGCGCAGCAGCAACAGTATACCCCCTACGCCCCAGCACCTCCCGCCGCAAGCACGGGAGAGTACCAGGCGTACCAGCCTTCACAGGGTGGAGCTGGCTCGAATCCAGCTTCCTTTTATCGGTAATTGATGGTTAGTCACGACAACCCTCATCCAGTTAATATGAATAAATGCCTTGACTCTGATTCATGTTGGGTTTGTAGTGTGGTATTCCAAGTAGTATTCTTCGTTTCGCTACCCCTCCTTTGCTAGACGTTTTTCTGTGTCATGTACCTAGCCAGCGGTTTAAATATGTTGCCGATGGTATGTTAATACATATAGGCTATTGATCTCTATCTTTCCGTATGCTAGTGCTATACTAGTAATGCTTCATCGATGTCGTTTCTGGGACCGTAAATTTCCTAATATGGACAATGACAAACCAATGGGAAACATCTAAAAAGTGGACCAACCAGCCAACGAAAAGGAGATAATCATCATCTTCATGCCACCATGACAGATTCCTTGTCTATAGAAATTCTGCTGACCATCCTTGAATGCTTGTCCCCGCTTGATCTTTTCTCCGCTACCAGAGCTTCGCCAATCTTATACCGCACCTTCATCGCCTACAAACAACATCTTCTCAAACATACTCTCCGCCAGGCTATCCACCCCGCATGTGGAGCAGACGTCCATTCCGCGCTGGACGCACAGCATATCCCCAAACTTATCAAATCAGGCGAAAGCATTGCCAAACTCAAGGCCGATTGTTTCTCAATTTTTGCCACTGACCGCACTCGTCGGCGTCGAAATAATGACCAGTTCAGCGTGGACAATGCGAACCTCGATACGTTGTTTTACCTCCATATCAATATTGAGCGCCTGATCGATAGCTATTGCCACTGGTCACTGGGCAATTTGACCTCACACAATGAAAAACCAACACAGTTCCAAACGACAACCGTCCACCCAAGAGCGACCCTGTCACCTACCGAACAGGCCCGTCTTCAACGGGCGTTCTACCGATACGAAATCTATGCCAGATATCAACGTGTCTTACATCTCCTTACCGACAAAAGCACGGCCCTAAACTTTTCGCAGATTCTGTTAAGCTTCATCTCGCAATTCACCCTCTATGAATTCGAAGAGATTATCAGCGTACGGCAATTCCTCGCTCAATTCATTAGATCGCTCTGCGAAAGAGTCGAGGATGATTTCGTGGCTTCTTGTTCCCTCACTGATTCTGTTGGCGCCGGTGTCGAGAAAGAAGCTTCGGGGAATGCAGTATCAACGAAAAGTCAAGACCTTGACGATCTTTCCTTCTTCACAAAGTCATACCGAGACACCCACCACTTGGATCATGTGAAATTCCTGGTATCCTGTGGTTTACCATACGTTTTACGTCTGAGTCTCATGGAATCCCAAGCCCTCAAACACGCCATGCTCAACTCATACATTGAGTCGCGCAAGAACACCGTCGTAGACTTCTTTTTCCAAGGTGGACTAGACATTGGATCGTGCGACGGGGAACAGAAAGCAATCTTCCTTCGGGGTAAACTGGTCTCCATCCCCCGTGATGAAGTCGGCAGTTTCAACCTAGGCTGGAAATGGGGTACCAGCTTTCCCGGATTTGTCAAGCCCGATACTCCCGCTATGTTCGATTTGCGGAACCAGGGCTATGTATTCTGGGATCAAGAGCGGCTGCAGGAATCGGGTCTTGTAAATGAGCCATATGTAGTTCATGTCGGGACGAATTACTTTCCGCCTGGTCACAAGGGTCCGTTTGTGCGGCCGAGTGTCGAGGAGAGGCTTGGTGGGTTAGGGGTTGATTCTGAGGCCTTGAGGAAATTGAACGATGAATAGATGTGCTTCTATTGTGTAGACTTAATGGTAGACATTTGAAGACCGAATGCCGAGTTAATGATAGGGTCCCTCATTGGCGGTCGATTCTAGATTGTACACAAAGCAGGTTCAACATTCGCTTGGAAGTATGGTGAAAACGAATAAGAAACATCTGAGAGGAGAGACAACACAAAGAAGTGTGACAGACATTAGTTGTTCTCCTTAGCATCGTTTCCCTCCTGTTTATCCTTCTGTATCCGACCCTGCTTCTTAGTCTCAGTGTCTGCGCTAGGAGTAGCATTTTCCTGGCTGCTTATATGCGACTTGAGCCACCAAAAACGCCATTGGGCCTGTTTCACCGAGATTCCCTCGCATTTGGCAACGGCGGTGTAGTCGATCTGTAGCATAATGAGCAAATGCCAGAGAGCTTAGGAATGGGGATTAAATATGGCTGACTCGAACACCTGATAGAGCAAGGCAGTGTAGTAAGAACTCGTGGTTTCTATCAAGGCTTGCTGCACCCCGTCCCCGCTTGGTAGGGGCTTCTTGGGCTGAGATGTAATGCTCGGAGTCATGGCTGAAGGTTTAAAGATGCCTCTTTTTGTGTGTAGATGAAATAGTTGTAGGGGGCGGTTCTTTGTGGCTCTGGGAAAAGGTTGTGGAGAGAAAAGAACTAGAAATGACAGAGGAGGAAACTTTATAGGCTTCGTTTGCCCGGGTTCAAACATCAACAATACACTCATCTGATATAACCAGATACGTTTATGTGTATTCCGAGTCTAGTATGTATCACATTTCTATAGACATACCCTTTGTTTAGAGCATTAACCAATTCGTGCCCGAAGACAACCCTAGAGACCTCGCACCCAGTTATCCAGGGAGACTACCTACTGCATGGACAGAGGGTATCTAAGCTAGATGAAAATTGGCATGAGATTTGACAGTCTGAAAATCACAACCACAAACTGTTGATGGTTTTCTTTGCTTATTTTCTATTCTGACACAGGCATGGAAAACATTCCAAAGCATGTGCCGCGTTATACTACGCGGTATTACACCGGGGATATCAAAATTTTGTAGTATTAATCCAAGAAAGGGTCGCAGGGACTTTCACTGAGCCATTAATAGGCAAGGCCTCGCCTATTAAATCGTCAGTTGAAATCGCATGGAATGGGCAATAAGAGGAAACCAACCTCCGCTGGTGGTCAAGTAAAGAATATCCTTGTCATGTTGCAGCCGACCAAAAGCACCAGCCGACACACCCGCCAAAACAGTCGATGTGTTGCTACCAGCGACAACCTGGGCAGCAGGCGACTTGGGGTAGAGGACGCTAAGTTCGTCCATTTGGTTCTGCGCGATGAAGGCAAGGCCATTCTTCTTGAATATGAAATCATCGGGCTTGGGGACATTGCTGGCAACAACTTCAGATTTACCAACTGGGGCGCCTTTATTCGTGATGCGAATACGGTTCAAAGAGCCGGCAGCCGTATTAGTCCAGTAAAGATATCCAGCTTTGATCTTGATGCCATTGACTCCAAGATTGCTGGCTGGATTTGAGACAGCATCGAACTTCATCTTCTCATCGTTGATGGCAATATTGTAAGCTCCTGTTCGTGTGTCAACACGATAAACCCAGCCATTGTAAACATCGGCAACAAGAATCGAAGTTTCAGATAGGGTGGTAGCGCCGTTCAGATAGTCCGAAGTGGGAATATCGACTAGCTTGGAGACAATTGCCTTGGATGTCACCTCGCTTGTCTTCTTGGAGACAGCGAAATTCCTCATGTCGATTTCCCAGATGCTGTTGACTCCCGACGTGAGCACAAAATTATCGTCGATGAAGCCGGAGGTTACCACGTAGAACATATCGCGGCTCGTCTCGGATATGCCGAGACACCCCTTGTAGGTCGTCGAGTTCCAAGAGGCAACTACAATAGGCTCACTGGCACCCGTTGGATCGAGCTGGAGAATTTCGGGGTTATCCAGGCGTGAGACAAGAATGTGGCCATTGGCGCGCACCGCGAGGTTCTCGGCCCAGGTGCCATCGCCGAAGTTGTAAAGAACATTAACATCAACGGAGGGAAGAGCAAATGTAGTAGATAGCAGAGAGACCACAGTCAAGGCCAAGGAGGGAAGACGAGTCATTTTGGGCAGCTGTGGTGTTTCCTGAAGGAGAAGGTGTAAAGGGTATATATATGCATCGTGGGTGGACGAGACGGGGGTGTCACTACAGGTAGCAGGTCACCAGCAGATCCTTAACGTATTGGTATAATTACTTACAAATGCTTAAAATTATGTATTTTTATAATAAAATACAATGCTCCAGTGACGCTTTCCAAGTAATAAGGCGGAGAAATAGGGGAATGTTGTATGTGGACGCTCTAGAATGTGAAATGATAGGCATCAAATACTCTTTGAATATTGGCTAGGCTTGGGAATTTATGGGTCATGGGAATGTTTTTAGATGAAGGATCATAACCCTGGCCTAGCTTGCTCACTAAAATAAATTGCAACTCGATGCTTAAAATGGCGGGGAGGGGAATATTAGATAGGCCACTGCTCCGGAATAATTGCCCTGGTGAGTACTAAGGAGATTCGTTCGATCTAACGACTAAATCTGCGTAAGTGTACCTGGGCATGTTTAGTGAATTACAAATGGGCGAAAACGTCAACGACAATAAATATATACAAGGCCTTTTGATTTCCTTTTCTCTCTGGCCATTGAATAGCTTGAGCAACTGGATGCATTGGGTAAGTAGGCGCTGAATCCCTGCTAGACCCAGCTAGAGACAATGCCCTGCAAATTTCTTGCGTCTGACTTTCGGATCACCATGCAGCTTGAGTAGCATTGCCTTCTCCATCGCAGGTGCGGGGGTTTTTTGTGTGATCCCTCGGTTCATCCTTGCATTGGTGTATGTGGCTCCAGACATGATTCCGTATGAGGGATGACTTTCTACGAATTCTTTGTGATTTGGTAGCCTTTTATCCCTGGGGTATTTCACGTTTTACGTTCTAGTACTTTTAGCTATAGACGGGCCGCCAACCCGATGACTTCAGGGGGTGAACGCCTAGTATAATTCGCGCACTCTACATCGTCGATCTATTACCTTATCTCGACTTGGCTCCTGAATATTTCAATCCTAGCGTTGTTAGGATGTCTCAGGGTTGGTGAAAAAGTGGGTGCCAATGAAGCTTAGCTTGAGACTCAATTAATCGAATATGGTAGCCGACCTCGTTCATTGCAAGCCATAACTCCATAGGTCAACTTCACAGATGAATTCGGTAGACTCCTATTTAGAGTCTAAACTTGAAGGATATGAGACTTGCTTCTCTGTAGTCTTTAGTTGTTCATCGTACTCGAAGCTCAAATGGCTCAATTGAAACAACCTACCGCCATCGTAGATAAACTAGCACCAGGTCTAAATGTGTGCCAATTCCAATCAATTTATTTTAGGAGTTCCTGATATTATAAAGAGTTTTGGCCGAGATATTAACATGCTATTCGATTGATCTGTCGGCCATTTGTCCCGAGTATTTCGGATCTCGTCCGACATGACAAACGGAAAGTCGTTCGTTTGTTCAACCTGTACATTCTCTCACCTCTTCTGTGTTTTTCACTACTTTGTCGGATCAAAATGTCTGTCCACCCTATACATATTGCTGTTCTTGACACCGACATTCCTTGCTACCCTGTCTACGCCAAAAGAGGATTGTACAGCTCACAATTCAACGTTCTTCTCACTGCCGCCGCAAATCGCATCAATGCAAGCGAATACCACAAGAACAGAAGGTCTCTAAGTGTCCACATCACTGCATTCGACGTTGTGGGCGGGTCATTCCCACATCTCGAGTCCTTACGAGTCAGCCCTTGGTCACCGACGGAAAATCGGCCCCCTGGCTTCCCAGGTCCTGTCGACGCAATTCTGGTCACTGGAGCTGCAGCAGCAGTATATGATAAGTTGCACTGGATTCCAGCCTTGCAATCTTTTATTGCGAGGGTGTATGCCGAGTATCCTAGGGTCAAAATCTTCGGATCTTGTTTTGGACATCAACTTATAGGCCAAGCCCTCCTTGCAAGTGACAAAAGCTACATGTCGCAAGGATCGTCATTTAAGCTATCCGTTGAAGCTTCATCTGATGGCCACGAAATTGGCATGCACCCTATCATTTTGAACCCGGCTTTTGTCTCCAACTTCCCACCTCTAGCTCGGTTCACTCCAAAACAACCATTCCATATTCAAGTCATCCACGGCGATGCCGTAATGTCTTCACCGGCAGACACACTAATTTCCCGGGGAAAAGGGGCAATGTTGCCTGAACCGTGGCTCAATATCGGAAGCAGCATTAAATGTCCAATCCAGGGCCTCTACAAGCCCGGACACGTTCTCACTTTACAAGGTCATTTTGAATTCGATGCGTTTGCCACTGCTGAGCTATGTCATAAATTTGCCAATCAATTTAACTGGCCTGCAGATTTGCTTGCCTCGCATCTAGAAAACATCAGGCGTTCTGTGGTGCCTGGTAAAGATGATGACGACGACTCTAAGATCGCGGCGGAGGCGGTCCTTTTGTTTTTCGCGGGGGAAGACTGAAGTTCGAGCGCAGATATCAATCTATCCTCGTGTTGATTGCATTGATTGCATTATCCAACGTTGGAATTGTTTGGATTTCTTCGGCTGCGGGGCCCTCGGAGGTCCTGGCCGATGTCCCCGCAGCCTCGGGTGAACACCCGATCCATACAGTCCGACGTTTTCACATTTGTGACTGAAACGTGACTATCAAATCAATATCTAGGTCAGCTGTATGCGGTGTTTATACAGCCATGGCAGGCTCCAATCCACGATCTACTAACGCGTAAGTTTGCAATGCGTCGTCTGCTTCTCCGGCTGTGATGAGTCATGTATGATAACAGTTGGACAGATGCGAAACATGTCGAAGACGCAAAGTAAAATGTTCCGGTGATAAGCCTTGTCGCGCTTGCGTCAGACACAATTGGGAATGCACTTTTGGCCATTCCGGTCGCAGACGGTTTTCTGAAGCGTATGTTCATGTGTATTATAGGCCCTGGGCATTCTTGCTGACTATAAACCAGCCAAGTGAAACATCTCTTGGAAAAAGTCCGAACCTATGAAGAGCAGCTCAGCTCTCAGTCTGTACGGGGTCCAGTCTCTTCATTTCCTTCTCCAGTAGTACCAGATGAGACCCCAGGCCGTCAATCTGCGCAACGAATTTCAACACCTGGCAATCAAGAGCCCCCAAATCAGAGGCAAGATGAGCTATTATATCCCGATAACGATCCTGCTATAAGTCCAGGTAACTTGACATTGCTTTATTCTTCCTAGTCTGCTTGCGAATATAACTGACTCTACGTGAAGCAACGGATCTGACCTCCGGCCCTGCATTCGAG